TTTTAAAATAAAAAATAAATTTAAACTATCATTATATTCTTGTAGATTACATAACAATAATACATTTTGACTGCTCTAGCGTCCATAGATTCCAAATCTGGCTTCCAGAATTTAATTTATATGCTTCTGTAAAACTGAAAATTCATGTCGCGTTGCCGCTTCGCGTCCGGTCTGTGTCGACCTTAACGCGCGAAAGGTTTGTTTATGTTGGGAATATCGTAAAGCATGATGATATTTGTTGTCTAAAACAGATGCATCACGACTGGTGAAGCTATATTAATTAAGCAAAGAACATCAGACGAAAACTATACAAATTAGATTCTGTGTTGTTCAGGGATGGCGGAAGCAAATTGGTATCCAGGGTCGCACAAATTTCTAGGGGGAAATATCTCGAAAAAAGAGCACTCTTTGTGGAATTATATAAATTTTCTATAGCTGGGTTATAATTTTTTTGTGTAAATAGAACATTTATCGGGGTGAATAAATTCATAAATTCTTGTTCTTCTGAACGAGTTTCTCTTAAAATCAGTTGTCAGTTAGGTTCATTCACATTTTTAAAACGATAAAAGGGCACAATTGTGCAAAGATCACATTGAAAAATGGACACATTTTGGTGAAAAAAGGACGCTCTTTAAAATTTGCTGGGGCCACGTGTCCCCAATGCCCCGTGCATGGTTCTGACATCACTGTTTGTTTGAAAAATGTTGAACTACGTAGTTATGGTTGATGGTATTGTATTTTTCGTTCTTACCAATAAGTTTGATTGCAACAGATGCACGAGTACCAGCACCAGCAAGATTCCCGGTTTCCACCGTAATTATATACTTCATTCCCGATGTACTGAAATACACAAATAGTTTTTCCCGATAATTTCTAAGAAGTTGGACCCCAACCAGCCCGCAATCTGAGATATCCACGTTGTTATTCGAAATCTTGACCAAACACAAGACGCCCTAAACGGCCCTATTGGCTATTGCAGGCGCGCAACTTGTATAAACATAATGTCTGTGGTACAACCCTTACTCAAATTTTCGCATATAGAACAAATAATGTATACAAACGTACCTTAAATAGCTACAAAAATACACACAAAAAACTAAACCGACGTGGGAATTGACTTCTCTAAAACATTTGGCAAGCATATTTCGTGCTAATAGTTTTTGAAAGCATGAGGAATTTGAGAACATTTATTGAATTTTGTGAAAAGCCGTCAGGACCCTATCAGTCCTATCACATAGTTCTCCTGGCGAGCACCGTCGCCAAGTAAAATCGGTGTAAAAGTGATTAAAGCCATAAAATTTTATTCATATTGCATGCACACTCAATGAACACCATATGCACGTAGCTACTTTGGTGTTGCAGCAAAACAGCTTAAGCCCCTGCATGATTAGAAATATATTATCTATTCCAAGGTATTGGTGATAAAAAGAAATAAATACTGAATATAGCCATGCACAGATATACGCATATTTAGTGCATATAGTATTTAGGTTATTAGCTCATGAAAGATAAAAAATTCAATCTAAAAGAGCTTAGCATAACCGCGACCCTGCTGTCTATTATGAAATTGAGTAGCCAGTTTAGGATATTTATCATTGCAAGGTATTATTTTGAGTTCTTTATCTTCTAAACTGAAATATTATGCACGGCGTCGATATGTTCTGAAAACTATTCGCCTCGTATAGGGAAAAATTGTTAATTTGAAAATATTCGGGCTGAAGTATATCTGTAAATAGCCAACTTGCTGATTGCAAAAAAATTTCTGGATTCCATATTCTTGCTGCCTGAAATGTTTCTTCGCGAGCAACACTTTGCAAATGCATAAAAAGTTAAGTTTTAAACTTACTCCTTTGAATAGTGTTTTGCTTCGGTAATTCTTGAATGTGGACTCTTCTGAAGAAATGTTATACATGGGCACAGTTTGAAAAAACTTTAACGTCAATGACAATGTTTGTTCTCTTGGACACGGAATATAAAGTGTGTTTCGTGCAAGATTAGCGTGCGTCTTTGTGGCTTCAAAAGATGCAACACCTATACGTATAGCCACTTATATAACGAGACATGCGTACTCACAAAAAGAAGTTTTAACAAAGTATTTTTATCTTCCGGCGAAATTTCCGACGCGATTTTTCTATGTTCGACCACAGCTAATACATATTATCAAACTATATATAGTTGCACCGGAACACGATGACGGCGGCTATCAATACAATAGATCATTGGAAAGAAAAACTGAAATAATTATAAAGACCTACAAGAGTTTTAGACGTCGCCCACGCTCTGTTTACAACGCTCTGTTTACAACGACCAATTTCAGGAATTCACGTCCTGTGTGAACGACGCAAGGAAGTCCTTAAAAATAAACACCACATGCACCATAATTAATTTTTGAGACTAAAAAATTGAAAAGCAAAGCCAGCAATCATTAAAGTTTTTAACATGGATTTGAATTAATGCATCTTAATAGGCCAGTATATCACCGGCTTTCACCGCTAAGATAATTAGTCTAACTCTTAGCTGTTTATCAAATGTGCTCTCCCCTATATATTTTCATATTAACTCTCCTGACGAAGGACCTCAGGTCGAAACGTCGAGAAGTGTTTTGTCTATTTTAGGCAGTTGTTATACCACATTTGATGCTAAGTTGTTTCAAGACGCTGCCACGCTGCTCCCTGGTTATAATGGAACGTATCCACACTTACTGTCTCTTCGACTTTACCCCTCTCGCCAATAATAATAATAGACTTGGGGAAAACGTTAGCGAAAAGTTTCGAAGGAGGCGAAGTAGTCGAATGCATGGTTTCTCACAACTGTACTTGCAGATGTATACTGCGGTTTTTTGTAACATGTATTCCTTTGGATTTAAAAAAAACGCATAAAGACTGCGACTACCCTCCGCCTCACTAGCCTCTGCTGGCTCTGCGAAAGGCATGAGCATGTTGTTATTCAGAGATATATTTGTGATCAACGGCACATGATCATGTTTGCTTACCTGCAGTCTCGATTAATAATCTTCGAATGTAATAATCTGTTTTGCAGAATCCCCAATCGATCCCGCGCACACTGGTCCACGTAAAAAAACCACTCAGGGGACTGTATTCTATCGTTTATTTAAAGATTCTATTTACAGCGTGAGTTCATGCTTCCACTACGATCTGACTCAAAAGTTGTATCAAAATTCAATGCAAGCGTTAATTAATAGTGCTATATTACATTACAACGTGTCTTTGTGCCGAATCAGCAATGTGTCCTTGTGACGTATTTACAAACAACTAAACTATATTTACATAAAGTGCTAACGTAACTGCTACACGCGGAACTGGCGGCGCTGCGCGGGGACCTACAACATCCCACCCACCTTGATTCATACACGTCTATGAATCAAGCATCGCCCTTGTCTTCGCTTTTGAAATCTCAGCAGCAGCTCGTCTCGGACGCTCATGCAGATCATGCAAGGAACCCCATGCCTCACCTGAAGGGGAATTCCCTTCCGTCCCGTTCCCACCCGGTCGAGCTTGAATTTCCAACGGGTAAAGTTTCTGCACCGGTCTTTTCAGGTAAACTGGTTTACCCTTTCCTGCTATTCTTAACTTAGCTCCCCTAACCTCGCTGTCATTTCCTAAAATTAGCTGTTCTACCTTCCCTAGTTTCCACTTGCCTCGCTTCTCTCCTTCTCCATAAACTACAACTACTTCGCCCTCCTTCAAACTTCTTGCCTTTCGATTACCACTTTTATGAAATTCTCGTAACCCTATGAGATACTCACTTTGCCATCTGGTCCAGAAATGTTGTAATTTCAATGTAATATATTTGAATCTTTCTCCACAACTACTTTCCTCTCTAGCTACCTCCCTCCGTGGTATGAAATTAATTGCTCTTCCGTAAATTAAGTGTGATGGCGTTAATACATCGCCTTCGAACTCTTCATATTCTTTTGTCAATGGTCTGGAATTTAATGTGCCTTCTATCTCTACTAATACTGTGTTAAGTTCATCTACTGTTAATTTGGCATTGCCTAAAACCTTACTGAGGCATCGTTTAACACTCCTAACCATTCGCTCGAAAAACCCTCCCCACCAAGGGGATCTTTCTAGGTTAAACCTCCAAGTTACTCGCTTCGTTAATAATTCTGCTTTTACTTTAGGTTGATTAAACAACTTCTTTACTGCTCTCTCTGCTTCCTTAAACGTCTTGGCGTTGTCTGACACTATTAGGCTCGGCATTCCTCTTCTCGCTGCAAATCTTCTCATGCAACACAGAAATGTCTCCGCAGACAAATCACGCACTAGCTCTAAATGTATTGCTCGAGTCACACAACAGGAAAATAATGCGATATACGCCTTCTTGGATGCCTTGGTGCAACACCTAACAAACAATGGACCTGCAAAATATACTCCCACATTAGAAAAAGGAGCAGCTTCCTTCACTCGAAAGCCTGGTAAATCTGCCATCTGTCTCCCCCCATATGCCCTTCCTTCTAATTTCTTACAGGTGACGCATTTACCTATAACTCGCTTTACCATTTGCCTTCCCTTCACGACCCAATATTTCGTCCTTAGCCTGCCCAAGGTTGCCCTAACCCCACAATGGTGCACTTCACTGTGACATTTTCTGACAATCAGCTCAGTTAATCTATTATCCTTGGGAATAATGATTGGGTGTTTCGTGTTGTACTCTAGCTCAGAGTTACGCAGGTCTACCCTTACATCTTATGATACCTCCTTCTTCCATCAAGCCTAGACTGTTACTAATCTGGGCGTACTTTTTAGCCTCCTTTAACTCTGCCTGAGCCTGTTTAATCCATCTATTTTCCGCCTCGTCAAGCTCCTCTACTGTCAACTCTCCACAGCGCTTTTCCATGCCCTTAGACTTTGCTCGTGCATTGAACCCAAACCTAAGTACCCATGCTGTTACTCTGAAAAGTCGTTCCGCTGTCCCATAATCCTCCAGATTTATCACTTTGCTTATACTAGCTAACTCTTTACTACTAGCTACGACCATTACGGAAACTTTCGTTCTTCTTCTAAGACCGTACTTGTTTTGGCAGCAGCCTCAAATTTCGGCCACTCCTCCTTAGACCTAATAAGCCACTCAGGCCCCACCCACCATAGCTTGTTATCCTTCAATTGTGAAGCAACTACACCCCTAGACCCTATATCCGCGGGATTTTCCACCCCAGGACAATGTCCCCAATCCTCCTTGTTTGTTAATTTCAGGATTTCATTTACTCTGTGGCGGACGAATTGTTTCCACTCACCGTTGTTCATTATCCAGTAGAGTGCTGTCATGCTATCAAGCCACAACTTCGTATTATCTATACTAACCTGGTTTTCTAATGAATCTTTCACTGACTTTAGTAACTGCGCTAAGAGCCTCGCAGACATTAACTCTAACCTTGGAATGCTAGTTGTTTTAAGAGGTGCTACTCTTACCTTTGATGTTAACATGCGGACATAACTTCCTACATTTGTATAATAAACAACATATACTACCGCACAATATGCTTTCTTACTAGCGTCGCCAAACCCATGTAATGTGCACCCTAAAACCTCTTCCGCTGGATGTTGGTATATGCATCGAGGAATAGTGATTTCCTTGGTCTCAATCAAATCCCTATACCAGATTTCCCACTTTCTTAAAGGCTCTTCCTTAAAGCTGTCGTCCCAACCCGTCTTACTATTACAAACCTCCTGGAATAAGATCTTGGCACTAACTATCAATGGACTTATTATCTAGAGGATCGAACAAACTGGCTAAAATGCTCAGGAGGTTCCGCTTTGTTGGCGATAACGTCTCTGCCTTTTCTCCCACCTTGGAAATTTCAAATTTCAGTTCGTCCTTGTGGTTATCCCACACCTGCCCTAAAACCTTATGGCCCTTTGACTCACCCCCTACTGCTCCCAAAGATAACCTAGCATATGTTTCCTGATCATTGATGCTTTGTTCTGACGAACCCTGATCTTTTTCGTGAATCTCTAGTTTACTCCTTAACACCTCACTGTTGGTCAACCACTTCCTTAATCTAAAACCCCCTTGTGCCATTCTTGTCTTAGCCTTATCATAAAGTTCAAAGGTCTTCTCTACCGTACTCTCACCACTGACCAGGTCGTCAACGTAAAAACTTTCCTGCAACTTTCTTACAAATGCAGCATCTATTTCGTTATACTTTGTTAAATGATGCCTTAAGGTTGCATTCAGTAGAAATGGTGATGCATTCACTCCAAAAACTACTCTACAAAACCTATAAACAACTATCTCCAACTTATCACTTTCTATATCATTGACCCACAAAAATCTCAAACAATCTCTATCCGCCTTATCTACTTCAACATTCAAAAATGCCTTTTCTATGTCACCAACTAAAGCAATCCTATTTTCTCTGAACCGTATTAATATGCTGTATAATAATGGATTGAGAGAAGGCCCAACATGTAGGCAGTCGTTAAGCGATGTCCCAGACTTACCTTCCTTGGATGATGCGTCATAGACGATCCGGAGTTTAGTGGTCACTGCCTCCCTGCGAATACTGCCTGGTGTGGTAAATAATGAACCCTTTCAACCTTCTCTAATGCAGATACTGGCTCCACTATCCCTCGCTCTACCTGGTCTCTGATGATAGAATCATACTCTGCTAACAATGCTGGCTCTTTCCTCAGTCGTCGCAGCTGACCCTTCATTCTACTTAAGCTATTTGCATAGTTGTCAGGCAACTTCTTATGGCTCTCCTTCCAGGGCAGTTTGACTGAATATCTACTTCCTGTAAATGATATTTCATCTAAAAACTCTTCATGTACCTTATCTTCCTCACTAATGCCTAACCCTTCAAAACTCCATAATTTTTGCACATTACTCTCCAAACTGTCTTCACTACTCAATCTCTGTGCTACAAAATTCACTTGGACTGGCTCCGCTCTCTCAATGTCTTGTACTCTCAGCGGTCCTGATAAAACCCACCCTAATTCTGTTTCTATAGCAACAGGTTCTCCTGATTTACCTCTCTTGGTTGTCCCTGTCTGAAAGCTCCAAAGGTAGTCTGCCCCTATCAGAACATCTACTTCTAACTCATCTTCTGACTTAGAAACATCTGAAAACCATATACCTTCCAGATGTTTATACTCCCTCCGCGCTATCTCTACATGGCTATTTCCTATGCTACATATTTCCGGCACTACAAATGCTTCCAGTGTGATAACCTTATTTCCGTTAAGAGGTTCAAGCTTTAATTCAACCACTTCCCTGTGCTCGGCTTTTACGCATTTTTGACCGAACGTATTAATTCCTAACAATTCCCTTCTTATACCCCTGGGATTCGCGAGACCAGCTGCTTTGGAAGTAACAAAGGAACGATGACTTCCCGCGTCAAAGAGACCCGCACCTTAACCACCCTTTCCCCCCTTAAAACGCCACGTGCAGTCTGCAAGGCAACCAGGCTACCAGTTCCAGCATGCAAGTTACTATTAGGAGTAGTCACATGCACATTCGTGTTATTGGGTACGTTTTTACATTCGTCATTAGGCTTGGGTATTTCGTCATGCTTACCCTCGCTCTTAGGACTCATTTCGCACAGTGCAACATGATGAGCCCCATCACAAACACTACATTTGTCTCGACCTTACAACTACTGGCTCTATGACCTTAGACAAACAAACAAAACATCTACCGTATTTGCGAGCCAAACTCTTTCGTGTCTTCGGATCCTTTACTCCCTCACAGTTCTCGTGTTTGTGGATCTTCAGGCAGAAAGCACAGTTTCCTTCCTTTCACTCGCTATTAACGTGGATGCAGTTCCATGTTGTTGACCATATTTTCTACCCGACGCCGAACTCCCATCGTTTCTTTCGTACTCTCGACCCGACTTCGATCCCACCGCATCGTGCGCTTCACGTAGTTCGAGCTCTTTCTCAAAGGCTTGTAGCATTTCCTCCATTGACCACTCCAGGAAGTTCTGCCCTCTCGTAATAGTCAAGCGAAACTGCTCGGGCAGCTTCTCCATGATCGTCGGAACAACAAAGCGGAATACGAGTTCTCGTTCACCCCCAGGGCTCTCAAGGCGCGGTTATTCGTTTCGCAGCTGTCAAACAACTTCCGTAGTCTCTGCTGTCCCTTTCTTTGTAAACTGCCGGCAGTTGTATGAGTTCATTCACGTGTGCTCGTTGAACTATGCTTTTCTTTTCAAACCGTTTCTTAAGCAATTCCACTGCACAGTTGTAGTTTGTCCCTGTTAACGCTAAGCCGGCAATTGTAGACTTCGCTGGTCCTTCCAAATATCCGCGCAAATATGCAAACTTGTCAACGTCAGACAATGCGTCATTGTTGTCTATCGAGCTTGAAAACCCGTCCCAAAACTCGGGCCACTCACATACTTTACCGTTGAAGTTCTTAAGCTTTAGTTTCGGAAGCTTTGCTCTGACGATCTTTCCCGTACTGGCTGTCGATATACGGCTCTGGTCTAGGTTTCCTTCGTCTGGCGTCGTCAACAATGGCAGTCTTTGTTCACCGGATTCCCGCAGCGCGTCGTCGATTTTCATCAATGTCCTTTCAAATTCTGCGACCGCTTCGTCTGAACTTTCGACCTCTTTATTGAGCTGTGCTTCAGCGTCTTCATCTCCCGAGGCGCTTAGTATGTCAATGATCTGTTCATCGAGTTCCTTTAACCTCTTGACTTTCTCTCGTAACGTGACCTGGCTTTGTCTCAGCCATGTCAAATCCCTTTCTGCTTTCGTCAATCGCTCTCGGAATCGTTTCAACTATCTTCGCTACAAGTTTACTAGCCGAAGCTCGATGAGCTCCTCTCACCCGTCTTTTCCTCGTCAGATCGTCCATACCTTCCGTTGTTCAACTTCACGCTAAATCTTTTACACACGACGGCAGCGCAAATATCACTCGCTCTTTGTCCGCAGCCTCGTTCACCTTTCACAAATCCGGTTCGAAGGACCACTGTTTTGCAGAATCCCCAATCGATCCCGCGCACACTGGTCCACGTAAAAAAACCACTCAGGGGACTGTATTCTATCGTTTATTTAAAGATTCTATTTACAGCGTGAGTCCATGCTTCCTCTACGATCTGACTCAAAAGTTGTATCAAAATTCAATGCAAGCGTTAATTAATAGTGCTATATTACATTACAACGTGTCTTTGTGCCGAATCAGCAATGTGTCCTTGTGACGTATTTACAAACAACTAAACTATATTTACATAAAGTGCTAACGTAACTGCTACACGCGGAACTGGCGGCGCTGCGCGGGGACCTACAACAATCTGCGATGAAATGAGGGTAAAAAGCTAAGAAACTGGCAATCACAAAATTCTTCAACTGTTCACCAGAATGCCCAATGGAAAAGGAAGCACATTGAAGCACATGGCAAACAATATAATTATATAAAGTTGATTCACGCATAGCATTGTGGGTCTATCTAATATTCGAACACAATGCAATGCGCTAAAGCAAAATTTAAAAAATCCCCAACTACATCAATTAGGTCTGCTGCCTTGCTCGCTCGCCCCAGGCTCGCTTGCTGCGGCAGCAAAAATTTTTTTTTCACACGGATAAATGTCCACTTTGAACTTTTTGTATGGAAATGATAGCACTATTACTGATTGACTCATTTGGGAGGGTAATTTCACAACAATAACCTTCATGAACAAGGTTTTTGGGTTAAAACCGGGGTATTCCGCATGAGTGTATTCATAATATTCTGCTTAGACAAACTTCTTGCCGCAATATATACAACAAAGCTAAAAGCTAACGCTGGCTCTCGAACACTAGACAAAACAACCAGAGACCGAGATATATTGTGAAGAAAATGGGCATGGTTACTCGGTTTCGTACTATTAAATGCTGTGTATTACATACTTGTAATTTACTCAGTTAGGCTCGAAATATGGAATACATTCAGCAGAAAGAAGAAACTGATTGGCTGCCAAATCCTTTTGATTTATTTCTGTTTTCCTGATCGTACTGGCTGTATAAATTTAATGAATATTAAATAAATAATTTTCAGAATGCTAAAATGAAATAAGTTAAACCATGCACTCACTGACAAATTTGACTAGGCATATTTACCACAAATACTAGTAGTTAGTGAGGTCCTATGTACGTGAAGTAATACGTTCCTTATTTCCCCCAAAATCGGAATTATGAACTCTCCTGGCTAACAAAGTCTGAGCAACATGTAAAACAAATTTCAGTACACTTTCACTGCATGGTTTCTGTATTAATAATACTGAAAGCTGTCTTCATGTCACGTCCGCCATCGATCATCTAACTGGAGGTGATTAATTAACTAACGCCACCGGACGAAATTTTCATTTTCAAAAGCAAATACATTGAATTCTGAAAGAACGTTTTGAGAGATATCGGTACCAGACTAGTCACAAAGGCCGGTGTGTGTCGGCCTTTAGTATTGGCAGCCAATTACATACAGTAAAGTACTGTAGCTAGCCAGACGATTAAGTTCCGCTATGCTAATGTTCTGCTGTTCATAAACATTAAAGTCTTTCCGAAGGAACGAGTCATTATATAAGACTAAAGCTTGCATAGCGGGACTAATTCGCGAGGCTGGCTATACGCCACTGATAACATTAAATCTTTGGTAGAATCGAACTTTGCCGTTAAGCCGAAAGAAAAGAAGTAATAGGACATACATGCACCCATATCCAAGTGCTACTCTTAATATGACACACTTGTCAGACATCTGTCAGAATGCTCGACTGTCGAGAGCTATTTCATTCGGTATTCAGTTGCAATTTTATGTTATGCACTATGCAACATTATGGAATTCACTACCTACGACGGGATTCACGAAATAAGACTTTTCACAATTCATATAAACGTCTCAAGGTATGTGATTTTGTTTTGAATTTAGAATAAATATTTAGTTGATATGATAACTAACACTTGACCGCATGTGTAATTAAATATTCGGAGCTATCACGATTTCAAAGCAAAATGATGTTGAATAAAGAAATTGATAGCAACTGAGAACCCTATTATAGCAGTCTGGGCATTTTACACGAGGTAAGCATTTAATTGGGACCTAGGCCACGTTGACAAGGTACCGGATTGCTATCGGAACAGGTCAAATTTTTTAAGTAATAAAAGACAGTGAAGATTTTTATTGCCCGAGATCTAAATAAGTATTGTTAACACTTTTGCTCAAACGTGCAAATGCTCTAAACGGCAAATGAAGATGTTGTAACACAAATGCTCCAAACGGTAAACGAAGATGTCGTCATGACGAGCGAATCTGGACGCAATGTTAGGTGAATAGTTAAACAAGTAAAGAATACAGTAATATTGAAATTCTGCGAAAACGGGTGAATGCGCTTTTACACGTTGCGAAGACTACGTAATCGATTGCAATCGGTGTACAAGAGAATAAAATTTTAATACATAGTTGGGGTTGAAGGGATTTCGAAAGAACAATTTTCTTGTATATTTCTGCTCATGCATGCATCCAGTCCGGATGTGTGGCTTTTGAAAACAAACATGACATTAACATTTATAAAGTCGCAGAAACAATGGTAGGCGGCAATTAGCCCAGGACGATTTACAACACAAAGAGACGTTTAGCAGAAGTTGAGTTATAGAATACAAAGAAACGGAAATCCAAAATTAAACATGGCTCTTCAATGTCTATACAGAAAGGTTTTTTAATTTTTGACATATACAGAGTATAGATACTTAATTCGCAAACTATATTAGAATATACAATATTTACTGGGTTGAACACCCAGGTTGGCTCTACATTGAATGGATACAAATTGCAGCTAAAGATGAACATTCTAAACCAGCAACTAATACCAGAGTTCAAAGGGCTACTAAACTCTACCAATCTTAACTTGTATCAGAGGGTGTTATTTTAAACCCAATAATTAGTGTAGTATAACACTATTTGGAGTGGATATCGTGGTCATTTCCACGAAGTTATTACTTTTTCGAAAAATTATCGTCGGTGGTTTCTTGCCAACCATCTAACAAGGAAAATTTGTCCAAATTTGGTAAGTTGTTCGATGCGAATTTGACAATAGATCTTGTAGGTCGTGGGTTATAGAGCATGCAATTACATTGGTCTTTCTGGCAGCATTTACGACCTCTTCTCCATGTATGTTACCCATGGGATTCTGTGTATGGTAAAGCTGTGAAGGGGAAACTCTATGTAGCTATGTTAATTGAGGGGAAACTCTATGACTATATGTATGGCGAAGGGAAAACAGATTTACAACTAACGCCTGCATGTTATTTAAAATTGCTGTGAAATGCAACTATCCCTGAAAAACTGTTTATAAAATCAAAATATTAAGGTAAGACTGATACTGACAGAAACTGCAAAGGGTTTGTGAGAATAACACTTAAAAAAGAGTGGAGAAAGTTCAGCGTAGGCTGCAATTTATGACAACCAGGACAGGCATGAAATTAATAGCGCTTTTCCTAGCAGCGCGTATAAAGCACGCAATTCGTACCAATTGCAAAAGCAGCTTTTTACATCATACTACAATTCTCAACGATGCAATTTTCACGAGAGGTGGTATTTATATATTCATTATATTCAATTTGGAATAACTTTTTTATTTGTTCTTAGCAGAGTGATTTCAGCGGGATCAATATCATATCAACGCCATAGACTGCATGGTTGAAATTATGCATGGTTAAAAGAACAAAAACTTGTTCCGGCGATTCAACCTTATATAGGGGTTAGGTCTGCATATAATAATAGAAACACAGATCAAAGTGTGAATTATTCATTATACGTAAAAGGGAAAATTCGGAAGTATATATTCGGCAAAAGCTCTGAAATGAGAATTAACAGTAAATTGGATTTGATTGAGATTGATATCGAATTGTTTAGATTGCGACAATACGCTTCTTCTTCATAAATGCATTCATGTAAGACTTCAAAATGAATATAATAAAAATAATTTTTCAATATAAATAACTTTTACCAATTCAAATTAATTTGAACGAAACTGCGGATGAATAACTTGAAAAGAGTTGTTATACATTTATTGATCAAATTCACAAAATTTATACTTGAAATACTATATCCATTTACCTATTCAAAACTCAGAGTTTGAATCGCAGCCGTTTTTCTGTCGCAAGGCATTTTCTAAATATCTTTTTAATCATTTTTACAAGTGAATTTTCTGTAATCTGTATATTTTCAAGATGATCCGAGATCAAAAAGATAATTTCCAAGTTTTAAAAGATAATTTCCAAGTTTTAAAATGGCCGTTATGCCATCTGTGGTTATGCTGATACAAACCTGAATTTTAGATTCAGCCTCAGTGAGCCAATCGCACGTTTACATTATAAATTCACATAGTCACATTATAACTGATTATATTCACTTTATGGCATCATATTGCCCGTTGCCGGAAAACTTCAATTTCAAATTTGCAATCCTGGGCGTTGATGCTCGTTTATGACGATTTGTTAACTGGATAACCAATGCAATTAGCCATTAATATAGTTTTCGATATTAATAATTGAATTCGGTTTTCATTTGATATTTGAAACATGAGGCTTTATAGTTCTTTATATCATGTTCAACCTCATTTGCACAAACAAACATTATGTTCAGTGCTTTCGCAGGCGCAACTGCGTTAATTATTGGAGGTCAGTATAGTTCGAGTGCACACACTAGGCGAGTTGGAATCCCATTGCAAAGGACGCGACTAGCGCTAAGAGCTATAGTCTGTTTGCAGGTAAAACAGTATACAATTTAAACCTTGGAATATAAGTGTAATAGGTCGATACATGCGAGTAAAAATTTCTTTAAAGATTTCTTTCTGTGTAAAGAATGACAAAAATTTTATCTACAGGAAGTGCGTGCAAAGGAAATTTGTTTCAACCGATAAGGTTTCCGAAATCTCTATCATCGACTTTAATGAGGTGAATGACATTTTCCATGTCTATAGTTATTATCGTCTTAATTATTATCTGATTAACCTATAGAACACATTTCTAGACACGTTTTACTCACTTCAACCCAATTGGTATATTATCTTTAATTTAGCTGCTTATAACAGCATATAAACATGTATAGGTATTTATTTTTATTATATACACTGCAAGCGCTGGATATGAGCTATATGCAATCCGATTGGCTCTCTTTACAGACTCTACTACACAGATATTAGCTCATGTCTGTCTAGTAGAGAAACGCAAACAAAATGGAGGCAAGATTTGGGGAGTTAGGCCACAATGAGATTCAAGTTTTCCTTGATAAAAGTATAAGTTCACCGAGAGGGCGACAAACTTTGAAACAAAAGTATTCAACAGTATATAGTTAAAAACTATATAGGTTTACACAATATATACGGTTTAACAGTATAACATTCGAAAAACAGAAAAACATGATACGAGATTTAATTATTCAATTTTTTAAAAAAGTGTAGTCACTATTGTTCAAATTACGAATAAATTTGAAAGATGTTTTTATCCAGCACTTGTGTATATATATGATAAAACAGTTATTCTGCTCACTCCGTCGTATATATGACTAATACTTAAAGCTCAGCTCAGCGCTACGCGCCTCGTCGGCTATACCAGCGCATATGCGACTCGATTTCGCAGAATAACCATTATATTAAGGACATAGCTTAAAAACTAGAATCATGTAAATATAAAATAGCATGCGCAATTCGATTGTGTTAATAAGCTCCCGGTTACCTCGTGAAAGATCGGGACTTCGGGCAAATTTGCAGACGGTGATATTTTGCAGGTAGAAATGTGGGGGGTAACTAAGCTTATTTTAAAAAAATTCCCTACTCAATACAATGCGCGGCATTGTACATCAGAAAAGTGAAAAGTGACCAGCAAAAAAATTACTCATTTTGCCCGAATCTCAGGCAAACAAACAAAAGTACTAAAGTTATAACTTATATACAGCGGAGTACCATAGTTGCCTTCAGGCAAGCAATTAATATTAATGCATGGTGCTGTCAAGCTAGAGAGTCAAACATAACAAACAAATTAATGGCACGTGTGCTTGTTCGTGCATGCAAGTGGCTTTTCAACCTTCCTCTTATATGTACTTTGCACAATTACCACTCTTAATTTGAATTCATCCGTGAGTCGGTCTTTGATTTATGTATTTGAAGAGTGATGTTTTGACCTTTGCTTTAGAAGGAAACAATGACATGACATGTAGAAAGACGATATAGCCTCTATTTGAAAAACCTCCAAATGTCTAAGAAAATATTCGATAGCGAATGACAACCTTTAGCGAAGCTGTGGGAAAACTAGGAGGAGTCTTTTGCATTTGTAACTATAGTGGAGATTTGCAATTACGCGATCTTTAGCTTGGCCATTAGTTTGGTGCATGTAGAACTAAAAGTACAATCTGAAAAATTATCAATGAAGTTTGCCCAGTTAGCTGTTACTCAAACACTACTGGCTCAAATGCACAAATCGTTTATTGAAAAACGAGACAACCTTATAGCCATTCAGAAAGCTCTATTTTTATTTTTACCGAACAGGTAGAAAATAATTATTTTTATTTATAACAAAGTTTACCGGTAGCATGCATCTGCTTGGGGGATGATCAAGTTAAAGAAACATTTCTGTTTAGCGATAACATGCAGGAGTGAGATTCAAAACATGAGATTCAAGACATTTTTACATTGGGCACATTATCATATCTTTCGGAAAGAATGTCTATAACTTCAATTGAACAAAATTACAATGAAACTGAACGGTAATAAATTAATATGTTTTGATGCATAAAATTTCGATTTTTGTTGGTCGCTGTGTTATTGTATATTAAAAGCGTGTCGTTTTTGACGTTGTCAAATTGATCTTTATGAGATTTAAAAAACAAATTACTTCAAATTATTTTTTAGTAACTAACTTAGTATTCTTTAATTTCTTTAATTAATATTTCTTTAATTTTGAAAAATATATAAATCTGTTCATGCCATATTGCAAACCAAGTTGCTCTGAGTGAAAAAAGACTTGGTGCATGAGGTCATTTTTCTTAGAATTAGTTAATAATCTGATAAAACAACTCTTTAATTTGTAAAATTTCTCAACACATTTTTTAACATGATTGCGGTCTGTTTGTAGTTGTCTCAGGTTGCACCTTAGTATATATTGACGTGAGATGTAATACTGAACTAGTGCTGGGCTTCACGTGTTCACATATATTTCAGGTGATCTGTGGAACAATGTTAAAGACTAATCACAGTTGGATAATATTACTGGTGTATTGTACTGTGCAAATGCTGTTTAAAGGTAAGACAATATTGTTTCATTTTAATTCAATACGTGCATGAGTACACTTCTAATGCTCAACATGTACTCATGTAGTGATGCAGATGCTTTTATGATAAAAATCATAAAGCGACATAGCAATTATAGTATAACAAAGAGCTTAAACAGTTTACTAATACTTTCCTAAAATATACACAATTTTGTACAGCGCGTAGTTACATATATAAGTTATATTAGCAAGCAAAACAACAAATGTATCGCTTACAGCGGAATTAATCATCTTGAAACCTGAGATTCAATTTTTTGCCTGCTCAATTTTTCACTCTTCCATGCATATCAAACTCGAAATCCGTCTTATTTCGACTTTGTCTATATTTGAAATATTTGAGAGACAGCATTTGAGAATGCATGGCCGGCGTCCTATAGCCGGTAGCATAGAATACAGTGTATATATAACTATATACCCTACATTATAATTACATCTATCGAAGTCGGATATAGCAATACTTCAGACGAACTCTAATTCGATGATTATTGCTTGTCCGCAAACTTCGACCACATGGTATTTGACAAAAAATGTTATAAGTGTCTCTGCGCGGCTTTAATAACTATCACCTATACGGTGAGAAGCGGAGTCATGGTCGCTACAGCACATTGCAGACAGACAAAATGTTTACTGAATTGTTCCATTGCTCGCGTCGCCGAATATGAATCAGTAGTTGAATTAATCCTATAAATGAAACCACTCCCATGCAAGAATAACCATGCATGCAAAGCATTAAGCAAAAACGTTAAAATAAAGTGTGTATGCATGGTATAAATTGTTAACAAATGGTATAGCTACTTTTAGTTAATTATAGTATAGCATTTATAATTAGTTTTTATTATTATTATCTATTTAGTATTATACTTATAGTAATAGTTAATAGCACTTTAATTTTTAAAGGAGTAAAAGGACTAGTCAGTAACAAGAGACAATATAAACAGCCATTTATTTCAAGTGAAAATGTGTCGGACTAAATAAATCGCCACACATTTAGCCTGTAGCTAATTTTCACGCATGTAAATTAAGGGTCCTATTAACACCGTTAATTAAAGCTTAGTTTAAAATCATATCAATGAAGTTTGAGGCGAAGAAAAATTTTTGACCAAGCAGACATTTTTTCAATTTTAAACTGTCATTCGTTATCACTTCAATCTCGTCCCAGTGTTAACTCCCGAGATAAATGATAATGCCTAAATAAACACTTACGGCGACCTTATTGTTAGATACGATTTTATAAAATAGTCCATTTGTGAAATTTGACGAAACACAGAAAAATCGTTGACTTGGAACATATCGAAGATCAAAATGTACCAATTTGAAGCACAGGAAGACGGTGCTGGAACGTCATGACCACTAGAATATGATGACTTACTATATGGGTCTGCGGACCTGCATACGGTTGACAGTTTTACGCGTTACCGGATAGAATTACAAACTTGTAAAATTATCTGACTGATGGATGACTTGACGGATGACTAGTTGTCATCCTAACAAATTCACAATGTGTAACATATTATCCTTCTAAAGACGAGAAAAATAGACCCACAAAGTATTCGTTGAGGATAAATATCAGAGGGTCTTTCATGGTTGATAGAAAGTAGAGCGAAATTTATCTACTTTTAAGCACTCATCTGAAAACTACTATAGATTACTCGTCTTCTTAATTTTGAAGTCAGAATATCTACAATGAAAGCGAAGGTTTTTTTGGATCCAATTCACCTCTGATGGATGTTTTATAGTCTGTTGTCTTCATAAATGCCTTGTAATGTATACGAGCAGCAAATCAGTCCACCGAAGCCAATGCATTACTGCTTTATCAATAATCGACTATGTTTCATACGTCAGAAGTTAATTTGGATCCAACCAAATTGGATCATTTGATCACAAAAGTGTGAACAAACCTTTAGTTATACCATAGGTTATACCTAAATTACGTGCATATCATATCTTTGCTTATGTCGCTGAAGTTTCCCACATCTCTTCGAGCATGTTTTAAAACGCTTTGAAAAGTAGATGAGACTTCAGGCGGTCATATTGGTGTGAATGTTAGTTATTTAAAGGCAGATTTAAACCGAAAGAGAATCAATAGCGACTAATGTGTATTGTGGAATACGTTGTGTTTCCTAATAATAATAAGAAACTGTTTTAAATCATCGCCCGTGCCATTTTCTCGGTACCGTACAAAACATTTTGCGTCGTATAAATGGGCTATAAATATCACTCGATTTTCCATCATTTTGATATTATATATATAATCAGTAAGCGCTTTACACCTATAGCTTAAATCTTTAGTTTAGAAACGTAAATTAACCAAGCATGCATGCATGGGTGTTGATGCATGGGCGTCTTGACTAAAATTAGACAAACAAACCGACAATGTCCCTGAATAATCGAATCCAAAGTATTCAGAAACGTTTGCAAAGTTACCAAGTTAACTTTGATAATAACATGCAGCGCGCACCATATATAGCTTTGGGGGACATACAACTATGAAACGTAAACCTGAAATATTTCCTTAATTTGTAGACATTCTGACATTCTTTAATACACTGTTTATAAGTATGAACCTGTGGTTTATTATGCCACACTATTACCCTGTATAGCTGTACGAAAGATAGTCATTTAGCAGCTAGGTCTAGTGCGCACCTGGTGTACGGAGCGGTATAGGCGAGGAAGTGCGAATGCCCCCAGAGTAGTAGAAAAAAACATGCCTCCCTCGAAGAAAGTAATCCGATTTGCATATCCGATTGCATGCGTACGCGTTACTCCAGATTAAAGAAATGTGATATACATCTATATGCATGTATAGTTGTATACTTATTTCTAAGAGGCTGTTTACACGAACTTGCTGCCTTACCAGTGTTAAAATGAAACGCGAGGTGACGTAAAGGTATTCAAATGAGCCATTATTATCTTCAATGCCGCGCCGTAGTCGTCCAAACAACAGCATATGGTTTGTATCGTCTGGGTTTTAAAGACCTATTGCAATAAGACAAACTCAATCTACACTTCGTCTAAAATCTTGGATAAAGCAACCCTTATGCGCAGAACAAATTCGGCTTTGCGTGACTCGCATAACTAAAAAATATAAGCCTGTTTTGGGCGGTCGCGATCGCGGAGACAGACTGGCGGAGATATCTATAGCGAGTTGTGCAAACTTAACCATTATCGACATGACCAACAAGTGATGACAGCCATCACTAAAAGGCCGAAATGGTGTACGAGGTGAAGAAAGGGAACTGCACCAGTAAATAATTATTAACGAAATTCGCACAAAATATTTCTCATTGAAGTTATGTAAATTATTTAAAGTTACGTACTCACGTAAAGCAATTACATTGCTATTTCAATTAATTAAAGCATCGCTTTGATAAACATTTTCTGTCGAAAATTCCTAAATTTGAATACTAGTCAAGAATGCGAACGTACATAATTCGACCGTATTATTAAATGATGCCAATACACAAAGGCACAGGTTTTGGAAAGCAGAGGTTACACATATCTACACATGCATATCTACGCCGTTTCCGCACATTTTTTATCACGTGTGTCAAGAGGTTTGCTTATATAAGCTCATTGACATTATGATGTCATGACCTCAGCAGGTATTTCAAAAGCCTAAAAGAATGTCACTAAAACCTACAGTTGGACTGACATTCCTGTGGATCTCTTTTATACAGAGAATGATATTTTATACAGCAAAATAATATTCAAATTTCAGGAATTATTTAAAAGACTAGGTCGAGTGTAGATTTCCAATAAAATTTTGTTCAAATATGCCGGCGCTTAATTATAATTGTTAAAAGTATGAGAATATAGAACTAGCAGCGTCGAAAAGGGCCGTACACAAGTCACACGTTAATACCACCCTTTACAGGCAAAGAAGCCTGTATCAACGATTCTTTATGCTCCAATTCAAAGGCTAGAATTTTTTCTGGATTCTAAGATTATAAAAAAAATTGATTAAAAAGTGAAGACGGGACTAGGAAATGTATGGAATGTCACGAAATAAGATAAATATAGAAAAGCGGAAGAAATAATATAAACTTGAAATAGAGATATAAAAGTCTTACCAATCTCTGCGGTGTCCGACCATGCAGATATATTTTATTATAAAATATATCTGCATGGTCGGACACTGCGGAAATTGGTAAAACTTATAGCCGTCAATACTCAGGCTTCAAACATGGTGAGACTGAAAATGATTTATAAACTACTCAACAAAATATGTCTTTCAAATAAAAGATTCAAAATGGCCATTTCACAGCTGTCAGATGTGTATATATATGATGTGCATGCTGTCAAAAGATTGCAGAATGCGTATTCCGAAAGTTATTCAATAGTTCTCTCTTTGATAGTGATACATAAATGTATAATTGTGAACCAGTGATCAGATTTTCGGGTTGAAACTTCATAAACACCAATTTCTGTGGTGTTGCATTGTCGCAGCTTAACCCGCCAAATAGAACGAGAAATAAATTCACCTATAGTAAGATGCATGAGTGGTAATGCTCGGTAATCGATCGTCATGCTGGATTGTTTATATTAGTTACCTTATAACAATGAAAATGAATTTGGTTTATCATGTGCCTCTGAATTTTATTAAAATTAGGATTAAAACAAAGTGACACTACCACTTATACTTAACTTGATTCAATTCCTGCTATATAGAAACATAATTTAATTAAAGAAATAATCGCACTCTATTCATGCAATTTTAGTTATATTTTCAATCTATATGGCTCCAACGCAATGCACATGCATGTAGACTAGTAGAAAATAGCGCGTGTGTATAACTAACCCGGTTATCATTCCCAACATAAAAAAGAATTTGAAAGCGTAGACTGTTCTTTATGTTACCAATGATAATTGAAAAAATTCTTTGAAAAATTATTCTTGAGAAAATGCTTTACGTGCATGTCGCCGGACTGTTGTTAATAGTATATAGGTATTCAAAAACCTTTATTTAATTCAAGCGATTATAAAATCAATCAGCTTAAGAAATATAAGATGAATTTGGTATTCAGTCCAGAAGTGTATAACAAGATTTTTACTCTTATCTCAGTGACACTGCATGTTTGTTTAATTGTATCTGTCATTTTACGACGTTTAAATTGACCAGATTTCTTTTCCCTGAAAGATTCTTTAAATGCCATACCAATCTATTCCTTAAAGTGGAAGTCAAGTCCGTATGTAAAAAACTAGGTTTGTTTCCATTTTTTTTATATTTTTCGAAACACCTTGTGTTGTCTGAATGTCTCTGACCTTTAAATGAATATGAACTAGTGTTTTTTTTATGAGAAAATTTCGAGACATGGGAAATTTGGCCAAAATATTTATTTCTATGACAAACACATTATGAGCGTGCATGTAGAACCGATGCCTAGAACAGACTTGACTTCCACTTCGTTTGTTATGTTCAGATTAGGTCAAAATTAGATTTTGACGACACATATTATTAGAGAAAACATCCCTGCTTTACAGATTATCACGATAACATACACAGAAACACACACCGTTTCGAATTTCGGATAATTAAACCGTATTGGCACAAACCAATGTGCGTTCGGACATTCTTAGTAATGAGACTTCTCACACCAAATTTGAGTGGTGCCAAATTCTGGAGCTTATCTGCAATGATTACCAATCAATCGTGATTGCCTCTATTCAGAAAGAACGACCTTGCAACCAGATATCCCCATCCTTCGAAAAGTCAATGAGACCTTATGACATTTTACAGATTTAGAAAGTAAATCGCTATTATGATAATCGCTAAGACGATATTATGATACAAATATCAAACAACTAGAAAGCAGCTGTGCTAGCTATCTGGCGCGTGGAAACACTTCCCCCGTGCTGAGTAACGATTCCTTCTAGCATTAAATTTTCGTAATTCAGAAGTTCTGGCATGAAGTCAATAAAGCAATTCCTTACACATATAACAGATCTTTAAGAAATTGTCCACTTATAAGTAGAATTTCAACAAAGCTAGTCCCAAACTGAATACTAGAAGAAAGTGCTGACCACGTATATGTCCCCATGGGATAATTAACTCTTAATTAATCGAATTTTCTTAAATATGACTACCGTGCTCATGAAAAGCGAAGTCTGAGCTTAAATAAGATTTACGTCCAATTTCCTTGACAATAATGTTGTCGAAGGTTGAAGAGAATCATTTTGCTAAATTCCAATCTCAGTGCTCAAGAACTAATCAAGCCCTCATAAGCATACTGCACTTCTTGAATTATAGCACTAAACAGATTACAATCGTGCAACAAGTGGAGTCGTTCACTCGACGACAGTAAAGTGTTTGATTTATATGTGATTTTCATTGAAGACATGACAACAGACATGTGGTTGCCAAAAAATCCAAAACAGCTAGCAAAATGGGAGTTGCAATTATGCCTTATAACCCAAGAAAGCAAGTTGAGCTGTTTGTTCTTATGGTCGATGACCGCAGAATATTTCCACTATAGTTGCTTTAGTTGATTAGTCGGTAGCCAATAAATTCCAAATGAATAAAGAAAATGCATGGAGCTCGTATCAAGGCGCAGTTTCACCTATACCAATTAAACTATAATAGCGACGTAAAACGAACATAGCTGCACACAACTCACAAGGGACAATCCATTGACATTGTTAATTTTTTTCTGCAGATGCTGAAACCTTTTTCCTCAGGAATTCTCGAACTGGAAAGTGTATTTCAACAGGACGATTCATATATAGTAAAAATTACGGTACGCCATACCTTACTGTGATGATTGACGACTGCTTGAATGGAAAAGCACAGTTCCGCTACCTCGATAGTGATCTGCTACAAAATATCAACACCAGAGGCACATTTGTGTCGAGCACAGATAAAGAATATAGGAATCGTTTGGCTGTGTTTAAAGCGAAAGCCAGTGCAGCATTGAGATTTCAAAACAGTCTTGAACACCGTTTGAAGCAAACGGATGCCGGATCTTTATACTTTTACAATATGAAAGATAAGGTGTGTGCCCAGCCATCCTCCCTGTCATTTTATGTAGAAAGAAAAACGTATTGTGATACCCCAGAGCAAAAGTTTACTTTTGGTAAGTACAATGAAACTGGCCGGACATCTGACATCTATATATAGTATATAAAATTCAGCAGATTTTTTATAGTTTGAGTGGTTGATATAGATTTAACAAAGATTATATTAACTGGTAATTTATAAATTATCTTCCTATATTTTAAGCAGTGCCAATTTGAAATCTGCTCAATTTCGACTGCTCGTGACGAGCTCGTACCATATGCATGCAGAGCCTCTCAAAAATGAAGAGCCCGCATTTATAGGGTGGAGGTTGTTCAATTCAATTTTACCCGGAAAATACCCAAACATCTTTCTTCCACATGAGAGCCAAACATCGTACACTATATTCAAGGGTCTGTAATACCATACAACAGTAAGATGAAAGATGTCTATTGTTCTCCGAAACAACGTATGGTCATCAAGAAAGCTGATTATGGGAATTTTGATAAGAATGGCGTGTTTGATGGCAATGCCAACATTGACAGAAAATGCAGCATACTAACGAATTGTAAGGTGAAGTCTCTGTGTGGTGGCAACAGATCTTGTGAATTAACTGTTGATAGCAGTTTGTTTACGTCAGAGTATTGTCCTGATACTTCAAAAGAAATTTACATTAAGTTTCTTTGTCAAGATACCTACAAAGGATTAAAAGGTGCGTATTCTTGAGTTATTAAAAGTATGATCCATGTGTACAGAAATTTTTTCATACATAAATCTGGCAAGCATGTGACGTCGTAATCATTATCAATATATGATTATTAATTAAACTTATTATAATCATTATAATAAATCGTGGTTCTGACGATACATCAGATCAAATTCTAGCTATTAATTAAGTTTTACAGTTTTAACTATACAATTAATTTTTTATACCAAAAAGTGACCATAAATCTGTGGTAAGTAAGCATCTTGACTATAACTCTGTGGGTAAATATTGACCATAAATCTGTGGTAAATAAGCATCTTAAAATTAGCACCGTATATATTTGCCTCCTTATAGCTAACGCTATATATGGCGATCGATTTATGACCACGCTTATTGGATTGATGGTTTAAACTGAAACTTTTACCAAAATAAATTCATCTATAATTTAACCATTTTTAGGGCCTAATATCAGATTATCAGAAAAACCCTTCAAGGGATTCATCGAAATAAAGGATGGTTCAAGTTGGAGGAAAGTTGATCATGAAAACTGGGATGCACACAGTCAGGAGGCGTTTTGTCAGTACTTGGGATTTAAAGGTAGTAACAACAGTGCAAAAGACACCAGAAATGTTGGGGTTGGAGAAAATATTGCAACTGGAGACTTCTTATGTCATGACCAAAAGCCAAATCAGATAACCTGTTGTATTCATCTGGAACCTGCTACAACAACTGCGAATGTTGCCTTGCCATACGCATCATGTAAGTATACACTATACAGGAAAGCGCCCGTGCTCACACCATTAGAAAGTGATTGATGTCTTGGTCATGTCCAATGAAAAAATACAACAAAAAGGGGCTCCGTTGAGGCCACGACCTGGAGCATGTTTTAGAAAGGAATGTGTTGCACCTTTGCACATAGCTCGTGAGAGTAAATTTGAAATTCAATTCATTCAAGGTAGTTCTAGGTTGGCAAAATGAAGTCAAAAATTCTGACGTAATAATCGTAAAGGTCTACAGTATTATATCTTAATTCAAATATGGAATGAAAGACAACTAAATTTTCAAAAAATTCTAAATAAATTATTATGAAAATTGAAATATATCGTTTATGAATCTATGCATGAGCCCTATTATCAAATTGATTTTTCAATGTTGAAATGGAGTAATTAATCCTATATTCAAGATGGACGATAATGTGTTGCTTGTTAGCTTTTATCAGCTTTTTGTTTTTCTCCAGGTAAAATGTGCCAAAACTCAGTGGTAGAAAATATTACTAGCTATGTTAATGGCATTGGTTCCGATAATTACAGTGAAATAAGATTTGCCGGAGATGGCTGGTGTCCTAGGAGATCTGGGGAAAAGTATATTCTTCTTGATCTTCAGAAAGATTATCATATAACACGGGTGGTAGTTATGGGTAACAAGGATCAAACCAAGTGGGGTCGTTCATATACACTAAAATACAGTCATAATAAAACTTTGATCAATGCTAGTCATGGAATCAAGGTACGAGTACTTCCAACGGCATGAAGCTTGCCTAATACACACATTTCTGAAAAAATTGCTGATACACACCTCACATTTCTAAAAAAATTACATCTTCGCTGATAACAAAATTTCTACTATGGTTAGAATAGCAAGAAGAGGTTCCAAATTTTCTATATATATATATATATATATATATATATATATATATATATATATATATATATATAGTAGAGAGCCAACCAGATTACACATAGCTCATATCAGCGCTAGTGTGTATAATAAATTTATGTTCTGTATGCATGGTAACTGGATCGTAAAAACAAATGAAATGAATTATGTAAATCATTAAAGTTTAGATATCTGCCCAACTAAAATAATCAAACTGGCTCCACTTGTGATATCCAAATGGCACATGGCAGCTGAATTTGGAGGCGTACCCGTTTTCCAAATGATAAAATTTTTTATCAGCTTCTATGTAGCCTATCTATATAAATGTTTTATGTCTATCGTCAGGTAAATGGAAACCAGAATGGCTACCAAGCATCTATTACGAGCATAGATATTTATAATGCGAGATATGTGAGCATCGAACCAATAATCAAGACGACCGCGGATTTTTGCCTCAGAGTGGAATTATGTGGAGATGGTAACGGGGCTTTTCGTTGACACTGATATAATTATTATATTGTAGCGCGTAAAACAACAAATTTTCATGAACATAACCTAATATGCGGAAATTAAATATAAAACAATTATGAATTTGTCTTACAGTTCAGTCACCAGCTTCTGTGGAGAAGATTGTCGTGAAAACATCAACACTCTCTGTTGAACTTTCATGGAAAGTGACAAGACCTAGAATCTCCAGTTATCTGACACACTTTATCATTTACCTCAACGGCACACGAATGCAAAGAATCTCTCGTGAGCAGTATGGAACTCGTTACATTGTACGAGGACTGAGGCCCTTCACTGATTACATTGTTGGAATACAGGCGCAAGACAGTTCTTTCCAGACGAGTGGAATTGCTTTCGAAAGATTTAAAACAAAGCAAGCCGGTAAGCAGATAGAAGCTGCATCTGGTAGGAGAATGTAGACATAAAAATATTTTTACATCGCCAAAAATATTTCCGTCGATGTACAAATGTATTTGATAATCTTTCAAATATAAGTACGAAACTTATTCTTAAATTTACGAAATGTAGTACAATTTTCAATATGCAATTTTCTTTTCAGTGCCCGATGGCCCTCCATTGAAAGTTGCTTTCACCTCCCGAGGCAAAGACTTCCTTAACGTATCCTGGAAACCTCCTGAAAAAAGTTTTCGCAATGGTGAACTCACGGGTTATCAAATTTGCTATTCTACAATGAAAAACGATAAAAATCCGGAATGCTCATTGACTGCAGCATTTTCATATACTATCACTACTCTTGAATCATTCACAAAGTACTATGTGACTGTCTCTGCCGGCACGAAAGTCGGTTATGGAAAAAAAAGTGTGGAAATCAGTGAAATTACAGATGGAGGTAAGCGAATTTGATGCCTGTTATCCAGTAAAAATGTAAAAATATTGATGAAATCTGTAAATTTCGATTCCTTGGTTCATTGATCTGGAATGCAAGTTTTCCTTTTTCAAAGAACATAGGCGACAATGAAAATGGGTCGTAGGTCGTAGTGGATGTTGAAAAGAATAGCAAATATATAAGCAATTAACATCTGAAATATTGTGATCTGCTCTGCAGATCTCTGCATAAAACGTTCTCTTCCCGTTATTTCATTAACAGGACCCCCATTGGATGTTGTTGTAAAATCCCGTGGTAAAAGGTCATTGGAAGTATCTTGGGAAGCCCCAAATGGACCGAATAATGAGTTGATAGGATATCAAATTTGCTTTCGTACAAAAGAAACGTCTTCAGAATGCTCAGAGCTTAAAAGTACGAAGGTATTGTCGATAACCATCATTGACCTTCAGCCTGCTGCAATGTATTTCGTGACGGTGTCAGCTGGCACAGAAGCTGGTTATGGAGAAAAGAGTTTGGAAGTCAGCAAAATAACAAATGGAGGTATTTTAACTCACACTTTTCTCGCCCTTTATGTTGATCACATTATGAGCGCGAAAATTTAGTTGACTCGAATGTCTTTATTCTTTATGATAAAACAAGCGTATCATTTGTATAAATTTCAAAATTTTATATATTAATAAAATATACCATATATATTTAATATTAATTTAAATATACTCAGCAGAGGAAAGAATCTGGAACATATCTCGCCAATATTGCGGAATCATTGTAATTTGTATCATTGGAAAAAAACAGAGAGGATGTAGAAAGATACGTAATCTAATTTCGTTGTATTTAGAAGCGGTGAATCCATTGTCGGCATCCTATTACAGTCTGAGCATAAATATACCTGAACCAGCAGATTATATTAAGTAAGTCACTTCATTAATTAATTCCTCCGTTTGATCACTTATATCCCGGTCTCAAAGTAGCTACGTGTACTTATAATGTACAATTAAAGATTTTAGCAGATTATCGATTTATCCTGTGTGATTAAATGGACTGTACCAAAATAGCACGTGATCTCTACACCGCACCTGATACTAAATTGTCCAACTTCTAATTTAGGGAAGTGATCGTCATCATTCAGAGAGCAGCAAGCAGTGTAACTTCAAGCGAGAGTATAGAAACGAATGATATAAAATCTTACCAGAGAGACACGAAGGATCCTTATGTCACTGCCTATTTGAAGCGTGATGTCCTGCCTTTGTCATTCCTCATTGGTGATGGCAAGGAGCATAATTCTGAAACAGAAAAATACTTCAACAATCCACTAAATCCCGATTCAAATTACATCGTATTCTTGCGATTCTTCGAAAGCAAGGTAGTTGTTGTGGTAAATTGTGCAAAATTCCACCAGAGAATAACAAAGAATAATTTCGTTTTCAACTAGTCGGAAAATTTGTTTACCATATAGTGCCACACAGCTTGTATTCTCACTTATATCTTTTATTGACAGGGATATTTTACTGGGAACTAAGACACTCGTAGAACCCATGTGCTACTACGTCCGGGACCTGGTGCCATGGTGCGCCTATTTCCCATATGTCACGTTTAGGAATGTCATAACGAAATTCAAAAATTTGCCGCCATTTTCATTGCTGTACAAAACAATGTGAATGCCTCTATGAATATACGAAACAGATAGATACAGAGACCCTATATCACTTATTGCACAAAGATAATATTGTGACTTTTTTCGTTTTTTGTAGAAGTCATACTACTCAACAGAATGGAGTTACGCTGTTAAAACTATGGAAAAACCTACAGGTATTCACTACCATACAAGCTTTCGCTTCAGCTGAATATCGCACAGTACCTTTCAACTAATTAAGAGTTTTCAACTTAGCAGTAACGAAAGCATGTAAATCCCAGTTGCGATGATTTGTATACATTTTAACATAAACAGCATTCCTATTCCTAAAGGACAAAGATCGTTATGAAAACAGTAAAATGAAGAAACAGGAGCTGTATTAGAAGCATAATCACATTAATTGCTTTTAGCAGTTGCGAACGGTTCTTTCTATAGGTTTATTATGCATACAAGTGAAATTGCGGATTAATACGAGTGATGCTTTGACTACGAATGAAGCGCTCCGTCGAGATCTTTTATTTTTTCAAATAGCTTCTTGCAAACATACAGTCCTGCCACACTTTATTTTTTACTTTTGGCAGCATTTTCGTTTTACTTTCTGGCTATTTTTAGTTCCTCCAGGGCTGTTTAGTGTTATTTTGGCAACATCATGCATTAATTGTAGTGCAGTACAGTAACTTCACTTCTCTCGACCAATCAGCATCCAGTAAATTTATTATACTAATAATAAATAATTATTCATTCAAATTTATCACAACTGGATTAATGACTCACTGAAAATTAAGATTTGAAAGGTTAAACGCTTAAATCCCAAGCTTTAAACGTTCACTTACACATTGCACCATTCTGTCTTAAATTCTACATTTTAGGCCGACTAAGTCAAACTGCATTCCCATTCACCTATTTCTTTGCGCTAACTGTTTTTTATTTTAGCTCTAAAACTACCTACACAATTACCCAAAAGATTTCATTATAACGATGCGTGCCCTAAAATGTGTAACTTGGTACATTCTATTACTAAGCTTATGAATTGCTTTAAAACCTGAGTCCAGGATATGAGTTGGGTTTGAGGTAGAAACGGAGAATACAATTAGTTATTTTCTTAATTAGTTATTTAAATTCGTATTTCTCAAATTTCTGTCGCATTCCTTGTGTAAACCTGCAATGTAGCTAAACTGAATTGTCTAAATTGACCATTGTTATATTCTTTATTTTATTCTAGAGGAATGTAAACTACGAAGTCAATACTCAAAACAAACGACGGAGGAAAATACTCGTATTGATCTTTTAATACCTCTAGTGATTTTCGTGTGTCTGTTTCTTCTTCTTTCACTTGGTGTACTCGTGTACAGACATCGACAAATTCAGAACAAAAAGTACAACAAGAATAACAACAACGACAACAAAAACAAAAACGATACACGAATGTGCTTCAGACTCCAGCCATCAACTCCATCCAGTGGAATAGAGGATTCGCCCGGTAAGTCTATAGAAAAATTGAATATTTTGTTTCCAAAAGAAAAACAGGGACGATTACAAGCTTATGGGCAACATCAACTTCATTAGCTATTGACCTATTATTATATCAACCTTATTGAATAAAAAATCTACCGATGTGATGGCAAATTAATGTGGTAGTATTTTTTATGCCTTACAATGGATCGGCACTGAAAAAAAACATGGTGATATAAGAGAAATTGATAAAGTGATATTTTGCATTTCTAGACCGAAAATTTTACAATCAGATCATCCGTCTCTGCGTTGTGTGTGGATAAATTTAAATACCCTATAAGGTCCCTATGTACCTTTTCCATGCACATGGTGAAACAGTGATTTGGACGGCGAATTTTAATTTTGCCACTAATTTTTTTTTTCAGATTAAAATCAGTAATATCTATTGCGAAGAAGCTGAATTGTTCTTGCCCGTTAATTGTTTTTGCCTGCCATATAAACCTTTAGTCTTTACCGCTCGCTTAACAAATATTTTTGGCAAGGCAAGGAAACATTTAAACACTGCAATGGGTCTTTTTAATTATAAATCATCTAATCGACACTAATCATCCCACATGAAGACAACAAATTTGACCTTAAAAATGAAGAAATGTTAAATGCGTCATGCGCTCTTTTAGAAGACTTTACGACTGCATGCTGACAATTTCTTAACAATTTCTCCCCTATAGCTTCTAAAGTTGCATCGAAAGATTGTTACGACGCTGTATATGAAAGACCCGATGAAGTTCTGGAATTGATTAATTCGAGTGGTAGCGAATTCCATCCAGAGATTCCCGTTGAGCAGACTCCTCAAATCTGCGTACTGCCTGACTCAGAATCTCCGAATACATTTTATGAATCGCTAAAACTTCCTAGCACAAGTGGTTATTCACCTTTGGAAAGTGATTCGGGAAATAACATGAAATAATACCGGATTTTTCGCATAGCGACACTTTTCTAATGCAAATTGATTTAATATAATACCTTTATGTTCAGAAATTAGTCGAGGCAAAGTTCTTTGTGTGGTATATAATATAACAACAACATTCCAAATTATCAAATTGTTATTTTTACGTTCAAATTACATGATTTATAAATATGTGACTGTGTATGGGCGCGTTGACACGTCGCAGTTTGCACACGATTGCAAGAGGTAGCCATTGCAAAGGAAGTGGCGTTTAACACAATAATTTTATGATTGTATATTATCCCGTATATTTGCCCTTAAGATAAGAAAAAGTATTCGAAAAAGCCACTCTAAATTTCAAACTCGAAATCTAACTCGAAATTTAACTCGAACCCGAGTCCAAAACTACCTCTCGCCAACACCCTACAGGAAGTTGCAAACATTTCAGTCAAAGAACGAAAGCACGAAAAAGAACCTTTCTCTACACAGGAACTACAAAGGCTATACACATTTCACGTGCATTGAGCATGTTTCACGTGCACAGCAGGCGTAGCTATATAAAGCGTAAAGTTGTTTTTTTAAATGAAATTGTTAGGTAACATGTATGTTTTCTTCCTATATAACAAAACACCTAATGAACACTACTTTGGGAAATAGTGAGTTTTGTTCTCCCTCGAGTCTCAATGTTTCCCTCGACCATTCAGACTCTTGTGAAAACAAAACTCACTATTTCCCTCTGAGCATAGTGTTATTGGTTTCGCGTGAAAGACCACATTTTGCGGGCTCATGTTACATATTTCGAGAACAACATTACAACAATGGAGACACTTCTCAGCAAAAAGCGACGAACGCAGTTATTTGGTGATTTGAAGCTACAATAACGCAAAGAATATGTTGGTAAATTAGCAATAAGTTAACAGTTTATGGTTTTTTGTTTAAACTGTCTTCAAATGGGGCTCTAAAACTTGCCTAAAGTAAATTTGATAGGCACATATTTCGATAACAGCAATGGCGACACTCGGTTTAGCAAAAAATACAACGCACGCAGTTTTTTATAATAATTTAAAGGACGATGTTGGAAAATTCGAAAAAGTGCAAAATTAGTTGATTCACTGTATCAAATATATGAAAATGACCCTCGAATTTAACTCGATACATATTCTACGAGAACAAAAATAGTAAAATTTTAACATGAAAACACGATGCATGAAGTTATTGGCGATTCTTAGCTTTACAAGCAAAAAAGAGGCTGAAAAAGGTAATGCATGTTTACCCTGTATTATTTTGTTTACAATATGTAAGAAAACGTTTCTCAATTTATTAAAATTGTAGTTACAGAGTAGAAATAAATGGTGCATACATGGCAATTCTTTCCTGAAAAAGGTTCTTACTGTTGCTGTTGGGCTCACACTAGTCTGCATGTATAGTTACAATTTGCAGTTACTGTCCTAATGCATTCTTTTGTAATATATTATGCTATTTGCATGTGGTCAAATAAGCCGGATTTGTAGATTTGATTTCAAGTTACAGGGTCCTAAAATACTACGTAATTTTTACGAGATTGTCAAATTGTTTTTTTGTTCTTCTCTATGGCGCAAAATTTTGTAACAAGAAGGTAAAGTTGCATTATAACTATTCGTAAAAATTATGTGTCATAATCATTCGTGTATTTGTGTTTTGTTTACGTTTTCGTCTGGAGTCGCTCGTTTTTTGGTCGAGTCGCACCTATTTTGTCGCTACTCGCGCATGCTTTGTCGCGACTCGCACCTTTTTTTTCGCGACTCGCGCCTATTTGTCGCGACTCGCGAGGCGCGCCAATTAGACTATCTCAATTTTAATGTGCGTATATTCTTTATGCAAACACTTCCAAAACTGGAATTATGAGCATTGTTAACTGTCAAGCGATATTTCCATTTACAAAATCTTACGCAAACCATACTCTTGCTAATAGAGGAATCAGGTATAGAAGTTTGGAATTATCTCACTGACCAATGTAAAAAACCAAGGTCTTATGACAAGTATGACTCCACATGTGGAGAGCAACGGAGCTAGGCCCTGGGGACGAGGATGATAAATTATCAAAAACCACTTCTCACACTTAGGGCTGCTTTCCACTTACACGTCTTTTATACGCACGTACACGCACGGAAAATTTGAAATGCTTCTAAATTTTTATTATTTAACATCCAGGTCTACAAGTGCATACTAAAATATGCGGAAAACTAAGTTCCTTTGATTTATTCACTTCGTTTTTTCAAAGGTAGCATGTATAAGGATTTAGACTTTTACGTGCGTGTACGTGCGTATGAAAAACGCGTAACTGGAAAGCAGCCTTTAGTCTTTGTCTATATCATCATACTCCTTTAAAAAGATTAGTTCACTATATGACTATACTCAGAAAAAGCTCTAAAACTGATGTACATCCTTACTATTTTATGTATATGTATGTGGTTTCTGGTAGGCTCCTAGCCCACATTTCTAAATAACAAAATTTTTATATCATTTTATTTATGTAATTATTATATGGCACGCGGTCTCTTGACTAAAACGGCGTGCGCTGATTGGTTCTTTGCCGGTCTGGAATCCCCCAGTATTAGACCGTTGCCGTATTAACGGTCCAACTCTCATATTTTTGAACAAAAACAAGCTTGCACTTTCATTTTTGACACGAAAAATATCGACGGAGAATGGACGAAGAAGAGCATTATTTGGTACATGTGAATATTATATGTATTCATCTTTGATTTTTGTTTATATCACTGTATCATTCCTATTTAACGAGTAAAAAACAGTTTTGGAAGCCACTTCAGTGCTTGCTTGGCGACTGGCTGGCGAAAGAGCCAGCAAGAATGCTGCAGCGCATTGTATAAATAAATAAACTAAATACTGTATGCCATATAATAAATCCCTTATAACCGAATACGTTCGGTCTGTACAAGAAAAATATCAGACCTCGGTCTTTTATATACGGACCTCGCTATCGCTCTGTCCGTACTGTCAAGACCTCGGTCTGATATTTTTCTAGTACGGACCTCAAATTCGGTTAATAAGTGGTATATATTACGCGCACTTATTGAAAAAAAAAATTAAAAAATAGCTTTCCTGCCTTATCCTGCCACGGATCCACGGATCAGTTGGGAAATTACCCACCCAGGAAGTTATTTCCCCATCGGAATTTTCCCAGCATTCACCCCCGCTGCATTTCAGCCGAGATCGGGTTCCGCCGGATGAATAAAAAGTCCAACTACTGTCGTACGTATACCTCAGAGTTCAGATTGATTTGGTGAGAAACGCGAGTGTTTCAATTAATTGGCCTCTTCAGCTTTAAAGAGATAAAGCGATTGTAGCTAACTTTTAAGGTATGACGAGTAACTCAGCATGCATGCAAAATACGAATATTTGTTGATTTGTTTCGAAATATATAAAATTTGATTATTTCACAATAACAGCATGGTGATGTGAATGTACCGAAACTAATTCTAGTTTTGACTGTTTTGTCTTTTTTGACGATTATTTCGTTAAACGTTTGTCTTCTTGTCTCAAAAACGTACGTAAAAGACTTTTATGTATCGCTAGCATCATTCATTGACTCATTGACATTGTGCAGTTCTACTAAACACAAAATGACTGCCTGGGGCTGCCAGTTTATATAAAAAAGCTATAACAGAGCAACTATTACAGAGCAATTATTCTATAGCCTAAACTGTGACTACCAGAGCCGGCAGACCCTTCATTGCTGGTTAAGAATTAGCAAGCAGTTATTGTTAAGTCGTTATTTTCCTTTTAGACGGGATTCTACTTTTCAGGATATGAGAACTGAATCAGTTTTTACTCGAATTATAATCATACTATATATTGGCATTATTGCATTATATAGATTTCTTAATGGTATATTTTATTTATCTACTCAAAAAATATTTATAAAATGAAATTTTGTATAAAATAGCCACCATGTTGGTAGTGGCATCACTAAACTATTTACCCAAACACAGTGGCATAGCCAGCCTGATGATTTTGTCCCGCTATGTAAATTTCATGTTTCATAATTTTTCATGTCGTTAGAAATTTATTGTTTTCACAGTCAATAAACACCAAAATATTAGCATAGCGGGACAAATTGTCAGGCTGCCCAAACACCTGGGTCACGGGGCTCTGGACCATCAGGTGACAATGATGAATAATAAAGTTCAATTGCACATTAATTGAAAGGGACCATGCTATTCTATGTTCTGCTAGTTAATTGCCTAGCTAATTTCTTTTGAAAACAATTTCACTTTCAATTATCTGTTACCATTTCTGTTATGCCAGCCTGGCATAACAGAATATATGAATATGGTCCCCATGCATATATTATTCTTGACCTCTAATTACTGAAAAATCAGATACAGTCTAAAAACTTTGTCAAGCCAGGCACACTACCAGCAAACCAATTCATGTCAAAGTTAATTTTTGAATTCTTATTTTCATAGCCTAATATTTGCAAGAATAATGCCTGTGAAAAAAAGAGTGTGTATTATTGGTGCTGGCCCTAGTGGCATGTCAGCAATGTATCATTTTGATAAGTTAAAAAAACAAGGAACAGAAATCCCAGAGGTGGTTTGTTATGAGAAGCAATCTAACATTGGTGGTTTGTGGAACTATACTTGGAGGACAGGTATGCAAAGTTCTAAAAAAGAAGCGCTCAGTGTAATTTTACACTGATAAAGATGTTCTTGTCAAACTAGGAGTGACCTTTGATAAAAAGTGATCAATGCAATAATTTGAGTTCAATATATATGCAGTCGTTAACATTAAGGTTGTCCATGTCAATCTATTTACAAATATATAAATATCAATCACATGACCATTAAACATGGGTTATTTTGTCCACTTTTCTCTGAAACAGACTGCAGTAGATGATTTTTAGTAAGCAATACTTCTGTATCTGCTTTATCTATATGGTATTGAACACTCTCAGAAAATAGATTACAATCTTAAAATTTGATTTTGCTACATTGTGTTTCATGTACTGCTACCGTGTACAATCTTCACTCATCAGGCAGACATAGAATATGTATATGTATGTATGTATATATTTATGTGATTATCATATATTGCATTCTGCATGTACATGCATGTACATGCCTATATGGTTACATAGACTCAACAGGGCTATGTAAGTATATAAGGTAAACCTACTATTAGGCAGGATGAATTAGTTTCAAAATTTTCAAATTGAAAGCAATATCAGCCATCTTACAGTACTTAATTTTTGCATTTAAAAGTGCAAAAAGCCATCTTGAAAACACATAGGGCCTATCCCAAACAGCAGAATTTTAAGGAATAAACTATTTTAGGAATAAACGATTTTCGCACTTAAAACCCTGCTGAATTGCTTCTACACAACTTGAAATATATAGTACTATTTTAATAAAACTCTCATTAATTAGGGCTAATTGTTAGTAGAATGCATTTAATGGAATTAAATTTATAAAATTTATTCACATTGCTATAAACTTTAAGAAAATTTGTTTCCAATCTGATCAGCAACTCCAGTCGTTCACCGATAGTTCACCTTGCTGAATTTAAGATTAATGCCATTATAATGCCATAAATAAAACATTTAAAACTATGAAACAAACAAAAACCAAATTTCTTTCAAATTCGCTCTGCATATGCATCTGCAATGATCTCGCGAGTCACCCGCGAATGAAGCCAAAAATTTGCGGGACGTATAGAGTCTCTGAGGTAGAGTCCCGCAAATTTTGGCTTCACGAAAACATTCATAAGGTAGCGTTCCAGTTATTTATTACAGTTCACTGATTTGCATTTATTGAATTAAGGTGGTCACCTATGTTTCTTAAAAGCCTGATTTTTACACAGGCGAAATTTTTCAGCTAAATGCGAAATATTTCGCCCGCGTCTTTTGAGTTGTGTTGTAGAAGTAAGGTATTTGAGCGGTCACAGTTTCATCTCGCCGAAAAAACAGCGCCCTTGGAATCAGGCCTTATGCACTCGCGCTTCCAGTGTCGTCTTATATAGAGAAAATAGAGAAAAAGCGCACTGAATACAGCTTGCATATCACGTGGATCATGTTCAAATGTAAAATAAAATAGGGTAGGTTAAATTCAATTTTCTTAATATCCTTGTTTTTGAGAGAAAAATAAACTACGAGTCATGAGATTATGGTTAGCCATGGCCATGAGGCCATCTAGACATCGTTAATTGGCGCCAACTGCGAAATTTTTGAAAAACTATTATCCTCGACACGAAGATGAAGGGATGCGAATTCTTCCCATGTGTTTTTCTCTATATTTTATTCAGGAACTGATGAATTCGGCGAGGTCGTTCACAACAGCATGTATCGAAACTTATGGTCTAACGGTCCGAAAGAAGCTTTGGAGTTTCCTGACTACACATTTGATGAACATTTTGGTAAACCTATTGCCTCCTTTCCACCTAGGGAAGTACTTTATGACTACCTTAAAGGTAAAAATTTACACCTGTCAAGTTGTTAATTTTATTCAAGGGCGTGTTACAACGTCTAAACGATAAGATGTCGAAAGACGATACATTTGTGTAGCAAACTACAGAAGTTCTTGCTAGCAGTATAAACGTTTGCTTCGATGCGTATAAAATAGTCAAATTTAATATAACCAAAGTACTGCATTGCCTATACGATCCTGTGATGTGACGGCAGCACACTATGGCGCTGTTTACACTACGCGCACATTTTTGACACGGCACGGCGAAATTCGCTACACGCGCCAGTTTCTTGAGTGCCGCCCCAGTCTAGTTCATAGATTTAATTTTTGTTTACGCAGGTCGTTGGTCGAAAGCTGATGTTCGTTCATGGATCAACGTAAATCACAAAGTACACGACGTCCAATACAGTGCTTCGGCCGATAATTTTATCGTGCAGGTTAAAGACCTGGCAAACGATCGTTTTCTACCCGCTGAAACCTTCGATTACGTCATAATTTCTACTGGGCACTACTCCGTGCCACACCTACCTGATTTCCCCGGGTTAAACAAGTTCCCCGGACGAGTTATGCACGCTCATAATTTCCGTGATGCTAGAGAATTCCAAGGCCAGCGTTTGCTACTGATTGGCGCGAGCTACTCCGCGGAAGATATCGCCCTGCAACTGGCAAAGTACGGGGCTGGTAATATCATTTGCACGTACCGTACTCGGCCTATGGGCTTCAAGTGGCCAGCTAACATCTCTGAGCGTCCCCTATTGCTCAAAGTAGATGGGAAAACAGTTCACTTTAAAGATGGAAGCACTGCCGAAGTGGATGCGATTATCTTGTGCACTGGTTACCTTTATTCTTACCCGTTTCTCAAGGACGACAGTCTACGGCTCAAAACTAGTAATATTTTGTACCCCGATGGTCTGTATAAAAATACGCTGTGGATTAAAGGAGGTAACAAGAAACTTATGTATATCGCAGCGCAAGATCAGTACTATACTTACACGTTGTTTGATGTCCAAGCAAAATGGTGTGTTAAGTACATCATGGGTGAAATTTCACTTCCAAGTCAAGCTTCCATGGAGGAGGATGTTAAGAAATGGATGAGCAGGTTTGTATTGATATATAAAATAGTCTAATGACTAGGTTGTATTTACACAGAAAGATTATACGGCTTTAACAGTTCTTTCCTCCTACATGCATGCATGTAATCGTTAATTCAAATTTTTGACCGTTTTCGTGTATAATAATATCGGGTGTCCTAAAAAAAGTACTCCGGTTTGATTGATAATAACGTTTTACCAGTGATTCAGAGAAGCCATAACACGGAAATAAATTTCATTAGATATAGAGAGAAGGTTATTGGTACCTTACAATTGGAAGATTTTGGTACCCTACAAAATATTTTACCTAAAAAACACGGAGATGTTAGTTTTTAAGTGTAATAGTCTCTTTATAGATGCGTCTAAATAATGAGAGAAGCATTGCTTGTATTTAAGAAACATTTGGACAATATCCTAACTTATATTTCAATAAATTATCGTAAGAATTTGTAGCGGTATACAGTAGCATCATGCAACAGTTTGTTAAATGTCTAGTCAGTGCTTTAATATAGTGCGTGCTTCAGTTTAGAAAAGCTTGATTATTAGTTAAGTAACATTTTTATACAGCGTATATTTGCAAGATAAAGCACGAAATATTGTGCCGATTTTGAAGTAATATTTTCTTCAAAAATATAACTAAATATAACATATCAAAATCTAAGTTAGACAATGTGCACACGCGGTAACGTTTTCGAGCATTTCGTTTTCATGCCGAGACAGTTCCAAATATCGTCAATTTACAAAAGAAGTTGAAGCTAATATAAAGCGTCAATACGATAAACTAGATACAAACGATTCTGAAAACGCTCGCTGATGTGCACATGCACATAGCCTTAGCCTTTCCTCTATCTAATGGAAGTGGCTTTATTGCGATACCTTTTCTCGCGATAAGAAGATATTTTGAATCATTTTTTGGACACCCAGTGGGGCATATGCCTATACACCTATAGAATTCTATCCACGTGAGAGATAAGTGGTCGTCGTAAGATTTATGTAGACTTGAAAACCATTCAGAAACTGATTACCATGCATGAATAGATTAATAACGCTGAATGTAATATTTTTATTAGATATCAAATCGAGTATAATTATTTTTATTAGAGAATCGAGTATACTCCCAATTTTAATCCCAATCGACATGTTTTTACTTCCTCGTTTCAGAAATGAATCCTTGAAAGATTGTCACGATGAAATAGATTTTCAAGCTGACGTTATTGCCGATATTGGCAAAGATGCCGACTACGGTTATGATCTAAACGTTAGTTATATGTTCCACGTTTGGGAAGATCATAAGCACGAGGATATCCTGACTTACCGTGATCATTCTTTTACGAGCAAGTATACTGGCACGACGGCACCAGTTCATCACACACCATTCATGAAAGCGATGGATGATTCAATGGAGTGCTTTCTGCATGGAGGGGGCATGCAAAAATAGTTAAGAAAAAGGCCGAACTTTAGGATTCAATCATATACAGTATAGTCTATCGAACGATTAATAATTTAAAATTTATTTACATAGCGAAATTTAATTGAACTTTAAGGTTTTCACTCACTCGCAAAAAAAACTCGCAAGCTCGCTGCGAGTAATTTTGTTCAACTACAATACTTGACATTTTATTAGTATAATAAATAAAATATAATAAAAAATCACTCGTGCAGTTGACTACCGGGAAAACTATAAAAACTATATCAATTAATAAAGGCCAATGTTTTGCTAATTTTTCAGCGCCTTTTTAGCACCTTTTCACTACTTGTACTGAATATGCAAACGTCCATGCTTATGATTAAAACTATATAGAGATAAAAAAGGTTGCTGCATGCACCTACGCGTAAACCAGATATCGCAGTCATCGGTGTAGACATTTTATTTTTTACTGACGATTTACCCCTGCAATAAATAAAGTTTAAAAAAACCGAGAGAAAATTGTTCGTTCAACAGACTGGCATATTCTATTCGCGTGGCCACAGGCAAAGTCAAATAAAGAACGATTACTTGCATGGGATTTTATCCTAATGACTCCGAGTACTTATCGTCTACACCTTATATGCACATCGGGTTATTCTAACTTATATAGTACAATTTAACTCGATTCGCTGTCAGCAAAATATGAACATGCACTGAACTTTTATGGTTCTGTCGGCTCAATTTGTCCAAAGCTCTGGGTGAATACCGAACTCTTTTCGGTATGGGCGATGAATCTTAACTTGAGGCGTGGAATCGTATGTCCTTAGAAGGTAACGGTTAGGATCAACAGTTTTGAACTTGGAGTCTTGCAACCACGCGTTTCTCCTGGCGTTATTCATTTTTTCTCGCTCTAAGGGATGAAAGTTAAGATGATGAATAACTTTGTTGTGTTGCTTTAAATAATACCAAGTACACTATCTTAAGCATACTTTTCGCATGCATATAACATCATATCGCATGCAAGGCTATTCTCCATTATCGTCCGCTTCATCCGCGCGGGCGAAGCGGCTTTTGAGAATCTGCATGCCCATGCGACCGTGACCGGTCTGAAAAACAAAGGGTGCTTCTCAGCAAAGCGTTGGAATGGAAAATAGCCTTAACGTGAGACTGATACTCACCCCCCCGTCTCAATGTTGTTTCCTAACGAGTATATTCATCTCTTAATTGTACCAAAAGTCGTGCAGCAACATCAACATTGTGTAAACCTTTCTCCCGTATAGGATTTCAAGTTTTGAAAACCTTACACAAAATGACGTTACGTCACTGAGTCAAGTGGCAACCAGCATAATGAAATATTTGCTTTGTGGTAGGCTACATGCATGTGATCATTTAGAGTGTTTAAATTTATACCTTCCTCACAAACCTCATTCAAAGCAAATCTTCTTCACAGCTGCATGGTACCCGCGTATCCGCAGCTTTTTTGCAACTCTGATTGTGTAGGGGGAGAGGGGTGTGATTTACGACTATGAAACTGTATTTTTGCCCTTTAAAGCCACTGTGAGGTAGTTACTCAGTAATTACTGAGGTACCTACTTGTAATGATATAATTTCTATTGGTAACCAATGGGATGTTTTGCAATAACAGACTATGTCTAATATTAAAGACAATCATGCATGCAGGATTTTTTGTGACAATGTGCAATAAACCATACGCATTATATACGCAGTATAGCTGTGAAACGTATGCTCCAAACTTTTCGTGATCGTGCATGGTTTTACGGTTGGATTGTTTACCTTCTACTCCGGCGCATTTAAGCCAGCGATGAAGCGAGGGGACAAAAGCAGGCTTACTAGGATGATCAGGCGTCATCTAAAAGGATACGAGAAATATATCATAATTGACAATACTTATTAATCAGGATATCAGCTTTGATCAACGAACAAAGACAAGAATTTCTGACTCAGGCTACAAAGTTAACTTGATTTCTGCTTTGATAACAACTGCTTTCGTTGTAACCAACCATCGAGAGTGTTTCTTAGGGTGTGGTAATTTTAGGGCGATGTCAAAGGTGCCTTACTACAGGATACAAAAATTTAAGGGTCTTGGAAAAACAGCTTATATCATTTACCTTAGCGATGTGATTACCGTTTCTTCTAGACGAACTTGGGCTAAAGTCTCTTCCTGAGGCAAAGAAAGCAAAACGAGAATGGTTGGACATGTATCGAGCGCTAACCAGCCGCTGTACAACCGGCCACTGACGGTGTGTTATTTTAGCACATGATAAACAGGCATTTCCTGAAATTTATTTATAGCTGTTATTCCAACTTTTGCCTCTCCGGAGTGAAAAAGCAAGAAAAAGTGAATTAACTGATCGTCAATTATAATTTTATTATGTTCAGACATAAGCACATTTCATTTCACAGTGAATTATACCATGTCATCGGAAAACTGATTATCTCGCCAACTTACCATGTTCAGGTACTCCAAAGCTGTTAAAATTAGACTCTTTGTTTGGCCTTAAGGCTTTCCTTAGAACCTAAAATAACAAAAAATACTATTCATGTTTTCGGCAAGTATCATGCTGCAGCGCAAACTTGAAGACGGAAGATGGGAAGGAACTGTTTCATAAATAAGAAAAACCGGTTTTGATCTTTTAAAAATTCTTCTTAACAAAGTAATTTTCGCCACCTTTACACAAGAGCAGACAAGTAACAAATCTAAATGAAGAAACCGAGGTTCGATTCATGCACATGCAACGCAACGGATTCACCAAATTTTGATAGACAGAAGAATTAAAGAATCCATATTTTGGAAGAATAACCAAATACTGTAAAGCATGCAGATAATTTAAATTAATTTAATTACTATAGTTTAATTATATAGGGTCCCGATTTTTTTAATAAACATGAAATTTAAGGCCAAGTTTTACTTAAACTTTACCATAGTATTTCTTCAACAGCATCAAAAGTTTACAACGGATGATATTTAGATTTAAAATTTTAATCAACCTCAATACATCAACATGCAACAACGCTGCAAATGTGAAAGACAAAAACGCGGAATGTGCTAAAAAGAAAACAGAGACGATAAAGACGTAGAAAAGAACACCAGTATGTCTGTATTAAAAGCTGACAAATCCGCGGTCCATGCATCATCATGGAGTGGTAAAAACATGAAACAGATCAATCTGAACACGCTCACAAAAAACGTTTTGCATAATCGTCCACCAACCTCTGTGTGCCCATCTCTTTTCAAACGTTGGATGTCCTTCAGACTGTAATACATAGTGCCGTCTGGTACAGGCGCACTATCATATACATATTTTTCTAAACGGAAAATGTCTCAATTAGGATCATGTAAATGATTTCCGTTAAGTTTCACAATTTCGGAGTCTGAAAGATAGGCTATAAAAAGGCTAATTAGTGTGAAAAATGGATTTACTATAGACGTACCGGGCTGAATGGGGTACTCGGAAGATAAATATCAAAGCCCCCAGAAAATTTAATTACAGGCTTTGAAACAAGTCCGATTTGGCGATTATTAATTTAAATAGTGACGTTTCGTCTTCCGTCTTTTGACATCTTCAGAGAAACGGATAAATTAATTAACATGGAAGTCCGACTCATTTGATCCCCTTCACAATAAGGGTTACCTGACGTCCTAAATTTGGCGAGAACAGTTGGGATAATATATACTATTAGGTGAATTTGATGGATTTTAAGAAAGAATTGCGTGCGTTAACCAAGGTCGGCATGGAAGTAAATCTGACGGAGGTTTGAAATGAAAACACTTTGAGCAAAGAAGCGAGAAAAAAGATTGAATTTTTATCACAAGTATTACACAAAAATTAAATAACCACACCTTCATAAGGGTTCTGTGGAGGTTTTGGATGTACTGAAGGATATCCTTTTTCTTTGGAAACACGCAAGCGTAAAAACACCCTATTAAAATACATTTGAGAATCTTGATTGAAAAAGATCACAATACGATAATGTTGCATTTCTATAAACTACCTTTTTAAGTACGCTACGAATACCCTTTTAGCGAGCGGGCTGGAAATGAAGAAAGAATGAAGTTTACTTTTTGGCAAAAGCACCGCAAACACCCGCACTTGCTTTCCGTAACCACTGATCTCCATATAGCAGCTGAATGCAAAAGTGTGGACAAATCAAACCTAAAGTTGATCGAAAGCTAAATAGACAAAAGTGTTTAACCGCTTGGTCTGACTTTTATAGCCTCAATTCCAGATGCTACTTTATTAAACGTGTTATTTAAGGAACACGTCATTTTGACTAGCTATCAATCAATCCTCGGCCGTGTCCATGATGCAACTGAGTAAAATTTTCATAAAGCCACACAAAGATTTAATACCCGCAATGCCAATGGTACATCATGATACAGATTTGGAAAGGTAGGGCATGTTCACATGAGCCCGGTTATCCGAGATTCAACGAGACATGAAATAATTAAGACACCATAAAATATATAAGTCCTTATGAAACCGAACAAGCATTTGTTATTTTCGTAGTAATGACGTTAATTTGAATTTTAGCTAAACGGATTTATGTGTAAACAGACGCCTAAGAATAAGGTCCGTTCACATGCATATCGGCTTTACAGCACATTTGGAATCGACAAAAAAAAATAAATATATATATATATATATATATATATATAATATATTATATATATATATATATATATATATATATATATATATATATGCAATTAGGTTTATTAAAATGTTACGATTTGACGTATCGTAATACGAAATAGCCTCTCTTTGTGCCCATAAAATAGCAACATCAAAATTAAGTACGAATTAATTTTCCCTGTCCTCAAGAAGTTTAGGGCCAAGTTTAGTGGCCTCAAGATATTTTTGTGCTTAAATATTTAATTTCAATTTTTTAGTCGTTCAAAATGAATATACTAATTTGATATTATACGAAGAAAATAATATTATATGGTTTTACTTTTAACTGTACATATGCATAGTTTTGGTATTCTATTGATGAACGTCATTATGATATATATGAAGACATTCAGTTGATTTGAGGAATTTAAAAAATCCTGCACAGATCAGAGGAATATAATTATCAACCCAGCATTCTTTTTCACTAAAAGTTCTTTGTCCTTTATAAGAATCCTCCCCCACAGCTGAGTATCATTGAATTTGAGAGCAAAAGTACTAATTGATAGTACAGTTAAACTTTAATGTATTACAACATGATTGAATAAGCCAATCCAGCATGGAAAAAGCGATGATCATTTGCCACACTACGATTTCATAACAATGGTTTCATTAATCATGCAGACAACGGTATTTTCTCAGGATCGTTCGTTTCACCGGGTTCGTAGGAGATCAAAAAGTTCCTATGTGGCAAAATCATTGCAGCATGACTCTTGAAACGGTACAAAGTTCAATTGCAAAATCATACGATATGACGTATTGAACGAACTGGTGCATTCCAAACATTCCCACATTTGCAAAATTACTAACATTTAATCTCATATTCAGCGAGTTTTTACATTTTTATAGTTTCTGTTCGCTAATATTGGTATAAATTAGAGAAATGCGAGTTTATGTCTTTGAAAACGTCGTTGTAATGCATACCTTAGATTTAAAAGTACAATAATATAATACTTTCATAATTCATATTGATTGGTTCAGTTTGATATAAATCGCTATAGATATTCGATAATTTCAATTTTACTGGTAAATGCATTGACTATGTCAGTGGTGCTTTGATTGGGCTGTCTATATTATATTTTGTGATATGCAATTCGCAAGATACATTCGAGGGTACTTGGAAACCATGCTAAGCACGGATAGATATAATTAGACCAAGGCAAAGTACACTCAAGGCCAAGCAAGAACCATTATTACTTACGCATAATTAATACACCAACACGCAGTTTGGTGACGTGTTTACAGTTACAAACATCACGAAATCGTCGGTGCATTAGCATATCTATGCACTCCTGGTGGCAAAGGTGTAGGTTCGAATGTCATATTTTATGTCTGCAATACACCAATTCGGTGCATTTCAACGGTGGGGAGACTCTCCTATTTTGAATAACGATGTAAACAATGTGAAATATTAAACTTAAAGCAAGGCGGTTGTTTTTGTGCGAATTGGCCATAGTGGGTTTACCCAGAATTTACATACTCTATTTATTCACAAGTAAATTTGACTAATAAATTAATAGGAGGTAGTGGTGTACCTAGCGGGATCACCTGGCCTTGTATACAATTGTTGACGGTTATAAAAAAACATAATATGTTCCTTACGAGTTTCAATTTAACTTTTCAGCTCAACACAACTGTCCTTGTATAAAAGAATCTAGCAAAGAATGAATTAGGAATATATCGGAAGAGCAAACATCGTCAGGACGAAATGTGATAGTGTCTTTAGCAACGGAATTAGCATTAGTACATTAGTAGCGGAAGCAAATTTCGATCATACCTTCTGGCTCATTTCTATTTGCATATACCTTTTTTATACACGTGTATACCCATGCTAACAAATTTTTAGACCACGCAACGTAAACAACGGGGTTCAGCGAATATGTAACTGAAAAGGCTTCTCCTGTGCTTTTGGTAATTTGGAATTCCATCATCTTCTTAACGACCGTTTGTCGAGGAAAATATTTTTGCAGTGTTCTGACACGTCATACGCTTGGATTTGTGTCATACCTGCGCACTGACCCATGCAAAAGCTTAACAACTTTTCAAATCCCTCCGCATGTGCTAATATTCGAAGTGAAGTGCATTCTTCGGCATTTCATCACGCAAAATATTATCTTTTGAGACCCAGTGGAACACTGCACATCGAAAGGCCCGACAAATCAGAAATGGCGAACAAAGCTAAGATCACAAGGAAGATATTGTAGAGCAATAATTGTCAGCGATTATGATAATGAATTTCCTGCAATTGCAAGTATCACATACCTTCATTAAAACGCATCAGTCGGTGCACGAACAAAGACGATAACAGCACTGCTTCAAGACGGGAAGAGCTAAGCAATGTTTCTCGTCCTTTACACCGTAGTTGTGAGCCTCTGTGGTACGGCGCTGTTTGTTTCGTTATTTGCCGCAAGAAAACGAAAACACAAGCGTGATGCGTTTAAGAAGCAAGAGCGAAGCGATTTCTCTAGTGAAGGCACGAAGTGGAACAACAATCAGCACGAATATCATGTGGAGAAATTTTACGAGACAGGCTTGACAGGCTCGCATGAATATCACGGAGGTTATTTGAATTTCGGCTACTGGGATGATGGCAACGAGGACTACGTTAAAGCGAGCGAGGCACTTCTTTCCCAAGTCGCAGATCCTGTGAATCTTAACGAGAAAAGCCGGCTTTTGGATGTTGCTAACGGCATGGGTGCACAGGACATTTTTTCCACAAGAAGTATAAACCCGAACACATCGATATGATTGACGTAACGTTGAGTCATCATTTGATCTGCAAGAAACGTATTAAAGAACACGGCCTAACTGACCGCCTCGTAGCTCACTACGGTAGCGCAACCAACCTTCCATTCTCCGATAATTCTTTCACTCACGTTTTCTCAGTAGAGGGTGGCGTCCACTACAGGACGCGAAACGACTTCCTGAGAGAAGCCTACCGCGTTCTCGAGCCAAACGGCTGGCTGTCTCAAGCAGATTATGCAAACCCAAGGCTTTCTAAGAATTGGATTGAGCGCAACATGTCTCTCCTTTGCGCCTATTTGTGGAATATGCCGAAGGAGAATGCTCAGACGTGCGAAGGAATCAAAGAGTGCATGGAGAAAGCTGGTTTTGTCGACGTCGTCGTCAAAGACGTTGGGGAGTTCTGCATTCCTGGTTATTATAAGGAGTCAACGCGTCCAGAGACCCTCGCCGAGCTGAGCAAAGTACGAGGCTGGTTTGCGACGTACGTGAGTGGGCGAATTATTGACGAGCTCATACGGTATGTTTACAACCATGATATATTAACCGAAATCGTCGCATACGGTAGAAAACCTTCGTCGGAGTAGCAATGCTTAGATAAAACGCTGCGTGCATGTACAGTTTTAGAAGTGCATTTTACTTGAAAGACACGATAATTAATGTTAAAACATTCAGGGGCCGGTTGTATGAAAGCCGGATAGCGCTATCCACCGGATAGTGATTTTTTCAACCGTTCTAAAAATGCCTAAAAAGCTATAAAATCTCGGCTTTGGAATTAAATATTATTAAAGAGGATCCTCGACTTAGGAATATTAAGATTTAATCAAAGTTATACCTAACAACAGGTGATTTAAAAGCGATTGAAAAAACCACTATCCGGTGGATAGCGCTATCCGGGTTTCATACAACCGGCCCCAGGACAATATGATTACGGTAATCGCATGATATTATACATGTGACGTAAACTAAATGTTTGAAATGATAATGGTACGTATAATTGTAGCTATTATTCGCAAATTACTTGGCAAACGAGCGTAAATTTCTGTATGAAGAAAGTTGTTAGCTTTTAAACGGTACGTTTTTCCTACTATGCATGTGGGTAAATAATTAACGAACTTGTGTTAGATGATAAAACTTCCTAAAAATTGTTAATTGCAATGTTGGCTTATAAGTGATTTTTTTATTCTTTCCTACCTGACAGAGGTGAAAAATTACGATCATTGCGATGTTTCAGTTATATGAATAAACAAAAAAGTTACGCTTGCCTCCAAGTGTTTGCCCAAATAAGCTCAGCTATATTACGTTTGTGTACTCTTTTTGAGAGGTCTCGCATGATAAATCATCTTTATATTCGCATGGATTTTTTGCGACGCCCACTCCCTGAGTCTGTTTACGGTATTTTAACTCCCGCTGATCTGGAGTAACCAATTCGTATATCAATTGAATTTTTTGCCCATATATATGTACAATTAGCAAAATGAGTATGATACATGCATGAGGCGTAGTGTATGTTAGTCTTAGTTGCTTTGTTGTTTAAAACTATGTGAAATCGGAATGGGGCGTCTAAATATAAATTGCACACAATGTCTTGATATAAATTATTCATTCTGTTAAAATAAATGAAGTGTTTTGTCTGTAAAGACTTAATTGCATTGCATGATTGCACGACTTTGTCGCCTAAAACTGTATTAGACTTCTATTTTTTGAATTTGTGGAAACACTACGTGAATTTAGTCTTGCAGAGCTTGTAGTGTTTTCACAAACAAACTTACAAAATTACTATTATCGCCCATTCAATGTTATCGCGATGCAAAATTCAAACTGACTTATTAAGATCTCTATATTGTTGTGTTTCGGCGCGCGTTCGTAAACCTTCTGTTCTTCATGCCTTCGTTGGAATAGCTGTTTTTCATGCTGCCTGGATATAATTAGAAATAGTTTTGTTTTCAAGTAAGGACAGGATTATACAGAATATGAATGTATTCCGAATTTTTAATAAGAAATAACATCATAAAATACTGATAAAGCCAATTTTGTTTCCACTTTACCAATTTTTTGTACTGTAGAGATAAAAGTTTATTCGTTATTCATTGTTGAGTTGGCTGCATACGTTTTTCGATTGTGTAGGCCAAAGTTACGTTAAATTTTATAAGATAAGATCAGATTGTATGACTGCATGGGTTAACCATTGCACAACCTTTGTTATCGCACAACCTTTCGCATGTAAATCAGTCAAGTTTTAATAGACCACTTTTATAGGTCAGCAACTCTTGACTTCTTCAATTACCGACTTGCACGTAGAGGATTAAACTATTATTTTCGGTGCTATCGCACTAAACAGGTCTCTACATGACATTAAGGATTGTCACAACGTGTAGCCTTTGGGTGCAAGCTGCCAATGCAAAATTTTGGTCACGACAACATCATTTAACCAAGTGACCAACGAACGTGTGCCGTTTTAATTGCATGATTCAGTACGTGCCATTGTGAAGCATGGCTCCAAGTTTTGGCAGGCTGACAAGTGAAGTGGGGCCTGCATCCTCCCCTTAACTTTTGAGCCGCTCTGGGGTCGGGCGACTGCATATAGTCAGCATGTCTCAGGAAGAAATTCTATTTTTTATTAGCATATCTCCGGCGTAAATTATCGACTATTCTAACATTATCGCGTTCGCAATCATTGAGGCTGTGTGCACACGAGCGTCGTTTTCGAGCGTTTTCAAAATCTTTTTGTCCAGTCGATAACCCTTACGGTCACACGATCCAAGGAGAAATACGCTTGATATGTTAATTAAATTAAATAGACCTTTTCGGTAATTACGTCACAACATTTTAACTTCACGTTTTAAATTTAGAACCACCTTATTAATGAAATGGATTTCAAGTTTTACCCTCACGAGACACGTGCAAAGATGCAAAACATCCTTCTTCAACACATGCATGAAAAATATTTTTTTGTTTTGACCAATAAATTTGGAAATTAGTCATAACACAAGAACGAGGCTGGGGTGCGAATTAAGACCGCGAGCCTCGTTCCCGCGTTATGGCTTATTTCCATACTTACTGGTCAAAATGAAAAATTATCTTTAATGCACGGGTTATAGAAGAATGTTTTGCATCTCTGCACATAGCTTGTCAGAGTAAGGCTTTAAATCCATCTCATTGAAGGTGGTTCTAAATTTAAAACGATAACGTTGTGACGTAATTACTGAAAAGGTCTATTTGCCTCAACTTCTATTTCAAATTAATTATCGATGTTTGAAACCGTTTTGGAATGGAAACAAAAATGAAAACGCTCGAAAACGTTATCGTGTTCATATATGTGTACGAACTGATGTGTACAGCTGACTTCAAACCATAAAAAGCCGAACGTTTGAGCTTTTACTTCTTTTTTTGGAGGGGGGAATCTACCCGCAAGTGCGGGCTCGGGTGATGTATTTCGGCGGGAAATTTCACCAATCACGAGATTTCGTGATCTGTGTTTTACAGGCAAGCATGTGTGCTTGCCTGTAAAACACAGATCACGAAAATCTCGTGATTTCACTGCGTTCACTGCGTTGACGTTGTGCAAAATACAAAGATAGCGAAGTGGAATACACATTTCTAAAGTTTTCAGCGCGTGACTTGAAGATATCAATGCTCAGAAGAACTCAGTGTACATTACCAGTTCTTATCTTATCTATCAAGGTTTTTAAACAAAGACAAAGTACTGGACTTCCTTATGGTTACCGAGTTGAGGTAGGTATTTTCTCTGTATTAGATTACTAATTCAGGTCAGAAATTTGACCTATTTTAATTTCAAGCACCTAAGTAATTTAGTATAAACAGCAATATTGTTTTCCTATGTTTTGTATTGTTTTTATGAAGTGGTTAGTGATTAGGATTCGTATTTGAAAAGATTCCTATAATTATTGTCTTTCAGTATTGTTGATTGCAACAAAGTAATCTTTGAACCTGTTTCTATAAATTTAAAGGTTGCTAGCTTTGGAAGGGTATTATAGTGCAAACAGTGTTTCCAGTTTCAAAGAATTTCCAGAGATACTTATATACACACAATTCACAAAAGTTTTGTGATAAAGCTCAGTGGATATACAACAAATTTATATGCCAAGTTCAATCTGAGCTTTATTTTTGTTTTGTTTTTATAAATAAGAAGGCAACATGAATTACCACTTGTGAGCTATTTTGTATTTACGTACTGCAAATCATATAATTTGCAGCTTTTGAATACAAAAATATATTTTTGGTGGTGCAAACATAATCAATTATAGAAGCTAGAGGCAGCGCTAGACTTAATTGGGGGGAGGGCATATATCTGTCTTATCCCTGACTGATTTCTTTTGTACGCTATCGTTCCTTTGACATATGGCTATGGCCCTGTTAAGTCATTTGACAGTTTGACTACAATTATACAAGCAATGAAGCAAATTATAATTGAATCAAGATGTATATTTATAAATTATTTTTAAAACTGTTTTAAAACTTAATTTAGATCTAGAGTGACAAATTGTTGCAATTTGCTTTGTTTTTAAAATACACAAGAATCAGCAATAAGCCAATATTACAATAATTATCATTTTATATAAGTATATTAATTTTTCACCAATATCATGTCTATAGCTCTAATCCAATCTCAGCAAAATTAACAGAGGAAACCTTTGCAGCAGATTTGCTCAAAAATTTTTGTAGGAATTTTTATTTTATATCTAAATTATAAATTAATTATAGACTGTTTTGTGCAAACATTAGACTCACATTAGACTGGAGTATTTTATCATCACAGTGATTAAGTGGCCTTTGAAAAAAATTAAGTCAGTCACCTAAGGGGAACCTGATGGTTCAGGGACTATTATAGCTCTGACTTCTTTTAATTCACCTGATGATGAATCACATACCCTATTGCACACAAAATAGATCGTTTTAGATATTTTAAGAAAGGAAATATACCTATTTGCAAGCATGAAGCACTCATTTGCCAAAATTAAACCATCACCTCTCTCACCCTACCCCCCTTCAAGCTTGAGCCTTTTCCACTGTTTCTGCCACCCCACCAGATTTTCTCTTAGTTTTCTCTAACTATAATATACCAAATTGTTTATGCAGCCAATGTTTAAAATCTACACTACATACAACACCATGGCTGCACTGTGAATGAATTAGGATTTGTGAGCATCCCAAGAAAATAAAACCAAAACAATGCACATAATTTGTGACACTTACCCAGGTGGATGTGGATTATTTCGTCTTGTTGGCGATGTTGGTCGAGATTTGGTAGGTCTATCGAGTTGTTTAAAGTCATGCTGTCGTGAATATGTCGAATGCCAGTCGTGAACACTCTTAACAGCAGGTTTGCCAGGATCTTCCCATGCTGCCAGCCATGTGAGACGCGACTCGCTGCGGATGTTCTTCATTTCTATCTCGGTCAACTTGCGTTGATTGTACTTTTGTCCGGTGAGATCATCGTCAACCGTCCTGGCTCGGACGTGTTTAAGTGAATATCCTGGGTTCACTAAAATGTGTGTCATTTCATCATTTAGGTGAACAAGCTGAAACTTTTCGTATTATGTTTGTATATAAGCGACTTATACGGTTGCCATATCACACGATTAGACATAACATTTCTTAACGCTTAGCAACGATGCAAAGTCCCTCCCACAAAATGGAGATTGCCAAAAAGACCAAAAAAGTCGACAAGACTACCACAAAAAAGTTGATTGCGCTAGGACTGTGCACAGACAAACATATTAAGTGGAGTATCCGCCAGATAGGTTGAACGGGCTTTGTATAGCTACTATACTATAACAACAGTGAACGGAATTTGAAAAAATTTGCATGCTCATAGCATAATATTAGCATTACTATTGATTAATTTCAGGATTTAGGAAAGTACAATCACACTGTTGATAGCTTCAGTCAAACAATGAACATTTTTGAACTAATATGTTTTTACTTGAATGTTGAAAAAAGTTCTACACAAAAGTGCAGAAATATGGAACGCGTTCCTGGTAATCCTGTATTGCTAAGATTAATTGAATTCATCATGCGAAAAGATCAGAGACAAAGATAAAAATTAGACCAGCAAATATTTATTTAAAACAATTATTTTTCGTAATATCTAAGATTTCCTAGTAGTAAGATAATCTTTGGCAAATCTGATGTGCGAAATGTATCTTTCCTTTTTTGTGGAATATATTGCCTTATATATATTGCCTTGCCTATATAATGCAAATGCATTTTCACAAGATATAAAATAACAGATCAAATGCAAATTCTTTATAGAAAAAAAAATCGCAAGAGAAATGCCAAAGGAAATTTGCTCTTATATACCATGAGAAAATGGCGCAAACAATGCAGCAAAACATGCCTAAATTTTGCACCGCTAGGCTGTACTGTAGTATAGATTAAGATGCTTTTGTTCAAAACACTTTTAAAGACACTTCATTTCCCCCCTCTCTTTTAATAAAGCAATAAGAAAAATCGCCTTTTTAGATGTTCAATTTTCTATCAATTTAAGATTTGCAAAGAGGTTTTCCCTTCCTCTCCATACAGAATAAAATTAACAAAAATAATCACTATGTGTAGTATACTAAGTCTACCCCTTACTTGCAAAGGTGCACATTTAAAAATCCCTAAAATCGGGCAGGAAAATCACGGGAGCAAGTCTGCTTATCAAGTCTAATAGTCACGTACATACATCTAAATAAAGCGAATTTTTAAATTTTCTGTATAAGCCTATTTTTTGAATTGCAAAAAGTTGTAAAATTTGAGAGTTAATGCGTTCTTCGTCTTTCCGAGATAATCTCGTCGGACGGTTCAATATATGTGCTAAATTTAATATATCAGTGTGACTGCGCAATATCAGAAAAAAACGTCAGTAAACTGTCAATTGAGAAGTCCAATGTTATCATCGAGCCGGGATAACATCGGTTTATGAGTTCATCAAAATACTTGTATTGTTGGATAAATTTCTCTTGCATTGAACGCCATACAACCTGTTAAAAAATTAAAGAATGCATGTATGTGGTGGGATATATGAACGCCAATAGATTTCGCAGGAAAAAGAGAATTTGGGTCAATTGATAATCGATCATGCATGTCGGGTTAAAAGCTGCATGGCATTAAATTCGAAAAAAAACAATTTTTTAAATAGTGCAAATAGCCTACTATATATAGCGAGTTATTACAAACCTGGAGTAAATTTTCCTCTTCTGACAAATGTTTTTCAACTTTCTTATAGAGATGTTCCAAACCTTTCTTTATCTAAATAATATATATAAAAACTTATCTGGTTAGGGTTTCCCTGGATGCTTGAAATTAATAAAAAATATTTTACAGTCCTTAATTCCTTTTAGTGTCTTAGTTTTCGAGATAGTTTTTCACTTTAGTTTTTTTGCTTAGTTTGATTATAGGCATTGAATCTATCCTGTCATCAAATCCTTCAGTTTGTTTCATGCGGAAATTTAACAAGCGCGATTTTTCACCTCTTTCTCGGGATATTCTTTTATCGCTTTCCTCAGCTCTTGTTTACTAAATGCTAATTGGTAACCTATTTCTTCTGCCTTTACACCGCTTGAGAGTTTTTCCTCGATACCATCGAAAAAGGTCTAAAAATAAAGACAATTTTGTATTTTATAATCATCCAGGGGCCTTCTACGTTTTAACTACATTTTAGCTTGAACGATGTGCAGCTGTTATTAAAATCAGTTAATCAAGTAGCTAAACCAGTTGTGTAAAAACTTACAGTTAACGCGTTAAGTAGCTACTAGTTAAAATACGAGCGGCCGATCTGTATGGGTATTTTGTATCAAAGATTCATGATTTCACAACTATACTTAAAACGTATAGTTAAAGTTAACTTTACATTAAGTTTTTCCATCGGTCGTCCAAACATTGTCGTTGCGTACGAATTCATATGTTCAGTGTATTGGACTTTCGCTTGTTTTCTTTCACCGTCCAAACTGGCAATTTTCAACCGCGATAAAACGCCTAATGACCACAGAAAAATACACCGAATTAGACACACAACTGCGCAAACTGTCTACTATATACAATTAATTGCCAAACAACCAAACACTTACCGTACAAGTGGTGGTAATTTTCTACAGAAGAGGATACAAAAATAAATTAATATGGTAAAAAACGTTATCTTATTCGATAAAGATTATGTGTTATTCAATATCTATAATATATTTAATGTCAATAAGAGTTCTGAATAATATAAACCTGCATGTAATAATATTTAGGTTATTAAATATCTTAATTCATAATGCTTAATGAAGCATCGTCCCTATAGACGAAGTCACATGTGGTGGCTTTATACGAGGTAAAGTACCTTAAATGCTAATGAGGATGGCACATATGATTTGTCACGTTTATTATAGTATTGTCGTAAATATGATAAAAACGCTCCTTCTCGTGTTTTAAATACTATATATACGTAATATATTTAATATCAATAAAAATTCGTAATAATATACACCTCCATGCAATACCATGCATTCTTAAAAATAGCTTCTATAACCTAAATAAACAAGGCTAGTCAGGGTTTTTTTCTACTGTTACAATTTCGACCGATTAAGTTTTTGTATAAGTTGCATGGTACAGCAATAAAAAGTGAAAGTAAACTAATTTTCGAAATTCGACAGGAGAAAATCTGACTATATAGCCTCGTGTTTTAACTGTCACATCTCCTGCTCTCTCTTTCGAATAGGTCCATAACATTTTCAAATATAGAATTATATATATAAATTATACAAGAAAAAATATGGCTTAACATGCATGTCCAATCAAATTTTAAACCATATTTATAAGCATGGTAATTTAAGATCTCTATAAGCATACATGTACCTACCAAATTGAATGACGTCAGCAGGTGTCTTTTGGTTTTCAACAGCAGCTCTCTCGATGTTTTTAAACACGACACCGACAAGATAACGATATGATTTATCCAAGTCGTTACGGCGCTCTGAACTCTTAAAGATTAATTCGGCCGTTTCTGCAAAACTCTATAGGGAAGGTGATAGAATTAAAACATGCATGGGAAAACTATAATAGACTATGTTCTATAGAACGGGTGTCAAGCATCTCGAGCAAAGCGAACAATAGATCTTCGGAGCATGATATACGCGTAATTTTAGCGTTGTCTTGTATATGAATCGTATATTGTATGAGGCAATATGACCTTTTTTATTCCGGATTGCATGTTGCAGTACAAAAGGTCGTCTGCCTTGCACAGGCCCCTATGATATGTCTTAGGGCCTGTTTATATGATCCCGTCTAGCCGGGACGGGTTGTTTTCATCCCGCTTAGCTGGGGAACTAGCCTAGGCGCGATGGCGTGTTTATGTGCATGGAGTTCATTTTGTAGCGTAGGTTTGTTCGACGGCATGTTTTATTGTAGAAAACGAATATGCCAATATATACACGTGTTCCAAATGTGTGTTTATCGCGACCCAAATGCTCCAAATGTATGCTCATCCCGGCCAAGCGGGATGGAGTGTTTTTATGGCAATTTCTCGTCCCGTCTAAGCGGGATCCCGGCACTTCTTGCCGGGATCCCGCCTACGCGGGAATGGAAAAGTAGTCATATAAACTCTAATTAGTCTTTGAATTACAAGCGGGATCTCGGAAACTGTCCCGTCCCAGCTAGGCGGGATCATATAAACAGGCCCTTATTCTAACGCAAACATTGGAAATGATAGCTACCTCGAACTTTGAAACAAATGGCAGTATACCGCATCTACTTTTCTTCGGCACTTTTGTTTCTTCTACTTGCTTTCCAAGCGCCATCTGTATATGTTCAAAGTAATAGCGATGAAAGATGTAATCTTTGTGTGGTAATTACTTTCATTTATTAAAACCAGAGTAGCGATAATTACGATGAACCTCAACAGTTCTTCAAACAATATGCCAGAATATTTCCATATAGAATTATCATTTAAACAGGCTCAATTTATATTTTGTTTGTGTTCGCGACTTGCAAATTGAGCCGCTAGTGAAGGGATATTTTGCAAAAACCAAGGAATAGCGCAAATTAATTTGCAACGGGAATAAATATAAATGATATACTGGAAAATATATTTTAAAGAATAGAATAATCAACAGAATTCGAAAAAAATTGTGAATTGGAAACAGAATTAGATTCTGAATTGTAAAGTTGGAAAAAGAATTAGATACGTGCCACTGTGTCACTTTTACCAATCGATTATAGTTTGTTTTAATATCAATAAAGTCACGTAATACCAATTATAGTATAATAATAGCAATAAAGTCACATATCGGAATATTTTCGGGGGAAAAGGACAGAAATAGTTAATACTTACAATAAATTTATCAAACAATCTCTTCACCAAGATTAATGACTGAGCCAGCTGATGACTGAGGAAAGATATATGTATGCCAGAAGCTTCATGGGCCATCACGTAATCACCAACACGTACAAGCATGTACATTGTATTACTGTAGAAAATAAAATAGAATATCATTCATAATTCGTTACTTGAAGTAACTACTGTAATATACATAGTTGCTTTAGATGCCACGCCGTATAGACTGACCTCATTACATATATTATGTTAATCTATGTATTAAACTAAAAAAATGTGCGGTACATTTACTTACAAGCTATCGAGTTTATCACCAAAGTGAATAAAATTTTGAAGTTCTGGATCCAGCCCGCTAAACAGGTCTGCCATAATTTTGCTACAGAAATAGAGAAATATACTGAGTATTTGCTGAACCATTCTAAAAGCGAAGGCATTTTTAGATACACAGGGAAAGTTTCCTCTTTTTTGTCGCGGTGGAGGAAAACTGCAGGTATATGCTAAAAATTCCCATGCTCGGGTATCAGTGTAGCCGATTGTGAGGAGATGACCTTTATTGGTGTCGCTATTGTAGTTTTAATCATGCTTGTAACCAAATGTACGCTTACTACAATCCGAGTTCACCAGAACGTTTGGGGCGAGACATGAAGGAACCATCTGGATTATCTTTCAACAAAATTGAGCTGCCACTAGATATGCTGGATGTCTGAAATGAAACAGACGGATTTATACGCAATAAACCCCGGGTTCTGGTCGAAGAGTTTGTCTCAGATCCGCCGATTTTGAATTTTACGTCAACAACTTATGTTTTAATACAAAAAATAGTACACTGTCACTGAAAAAACAGTAACCAGGTTACGACGGATTCATTTATTTGACTAATTTTTATTGGCTATATTACAAGGTGATGAATGAGACGACCAATTTTAATTCATATACAGTATATATAGTTCTTTTCTAGTTTTACACGTTGTACAAACTGATTATTTATAATGTAATAGGACAATATATTACGGTCATTTCTGCATGCGGAGACATGCAGTATGGGAATACCTCTGAATCGTCTTTGGGTAACGGCATGTGGAAGAATTTTTCAATAAACTTCTGTTCAGCGAGGCAAGCAGGTTCCAATTCCGACAACAGCGTATCAAAAATCTATACAAAGTTAAATAATTACATAGAGACGTGTAGCAAAAACTCGACATTAGGAAAAGGCGGGCACATTCTGACAAACTAACGAAGAGGTTAAGAAATATCTGTTCCAGTGTAGCATTTTGAATTTCAATTAATTTTTGCGTCTACTTTGCGTGCTTTTTCAATTGAAACTATATTTGACCGAAATGGAAAATATAACCTGTTGCTATAAGGCTATACACCATTCCCTAGTTCTTTAAGCTGAATTTTGTCAACTTCGCAGAGCTTTACTTCCACGTTTTTCGATATTTCCCAACCAACTTACCAATCTTGCTAATTTTAGGATGCTCTTTTCAGTTTACTTGTGAATTTTATCACTTTTCAATTTTGTTTAAAGCGAGAATGGCCCATTCATTGCATGGATAAAACTTTAGTGAAAATGTATACACTTCATTTATAGGGGACACATAACAGTGTATCTGTATATACCTTATCAAATCTACTTCGGCTCTCAGAGACGCTATCCGAAGACACAAGAGAATCCTGAGAACTCAGTGATCCCGACGGCGAACGACGATTGAGTTGAGGACTATCTGTTGTGTGTTTATCGAACCTTGTCACACGAGATGGCATTGGACTTCCGTGGGAAACTTCATCTCGGCTTAAAGAGAGATGCGAACCAGCACGAAGATTGCCTACATTTACAGTAAGTGTAAACAAAAAACCGTTAGGTTGCCCGGGGTGCATGCAACAAAACGGGGAAAGTTCATCAGAGCAAAGAATGTGATAATGTACCTGCGGCTTTCGCACTCCTTGCAGAACATCTTTGTTTGGACACTTCAAAGAAATCTCGAATTTCTTTCTCATAAACCTTGCTAAAACATTGTGTATAAATCTAGAAAAAAACCCTGTTCTTTTAGGAAACGAGAATATAAAGATTTCATTGGGGAAACGAGAACTAAATTATTATCTTAACTGCATGCCAAGGCCATTTGTTCAAGGGCTTGAAATTTTGATACCTGAATTAGCTCTGTAAATTTTGACTGGTCAATTTCCTTGAGCCAAAACATAAGATCTGTGTATGGAGCAAGTTCATCATGGATTTTGTTGTGACTTGGAATTACCAGTTCATTGGAATGTTTGACCAGTGTCTCAGTCTCGTCTTCCTGAAAATTTCAATATCATTTCATGTCGGCCATTAGCCTACACTAATACCGTCAGCTGCCAGTAGTACGTCGTGATAAAAACAGCGATAAGACTTGTTTTTTTCGTGCATGCAGTTTTTGCGGGTAACTTTACCGAAACGTTTCCAAGCTTTCGTCGCGCACAAATGTTTAGGTGTATGGGTTTTTAATCCCTGGGAAATGATTACAGGTCAAGATATTTTTGGTCTTACAATTTCAGTGACGCTGGTTTGTCATGCAGCCTCCATTTTCTTTTACAGTTTTCAAAAGCAACTATATTTTTTATCTTGTTATGAAATTTTTGAAAATTACTGAAGCATAGAACATTTTGAAACTTTGTATCAGATGGATTTAACAAAGAAACTGATATTTTGATACACGCACTAATTTCAGTTACAGTGGACTCACGTGACTTTGGAATACTCTCTTTAAATGTGATGCAAGAAAGGTAGCAAATTCTTGACAAAGATTCCAAAACATGTCTCTTTGTTCTTTCACAGCATGAAGTTTGTCCAGTCCTAGGAAAATGAAACGCGGTATACTGCATTAGAAAAATAGAAAAATGTGCGAGAATATAGGAAAGACGTGTATACGGCAGCGTAAAAGGTGAGTGCAAATGTAAACTTTATACCTGGACTGAGTTCAGCACTCATAGCATTGCGAACTGCTTTTGCGGCCTCAGTACATTGTGCTAACTCGGTGGCATTTGATAAACTTTTTCTTTGCAATGTACTAAGAGTGGCTTCAGGTACATCCAAAATGTCCTGTGATGAATATGAAAGGCAAGTAAAGAACAATATAATATTTTATTATATAATATGCAGTGTTTTATTGACGAATCCGCCATTTTGAAAAGCGATAATAACACATGTGCGATTATCGTGTTTGATCCACCGATCTTGAATCAGGAAGGGGGGTAAAAAAACTTTTCAAAAAACCCAGTTTTTTATTATATAATAAACAGAATAATACATGGATGCTTGGAAATATGGAATTTATTTCAAGTGTTGGGAATGATATCTCTGAGTAAATGAGTAATCAATTTTTGCTCTTCAAGCAAGGACTAGGACTCCACGAGCTAATTTTATGACTTATCGACCATTACATCGACGTACTGTTGCCAAACAAATAGTAAATCTGTGATATACGTGTAAATTAACTCATGTTCTCAAGCTCCCAATTTGCATCTGTACATATTTTACATGTGTATTATGGTACACAAACACAGTCCTAAATGGTTTCTCGTGTGTCAACCGCAATTGATATTCCTTTGAAAAGATTTCCTCTGTGACAGAAATTTCAATACGTGTAGGTTGATCACTGGGCAAGATTTATGAACTATTATTAATCATTACTACTTCAATGGCATTTGAAAATCCCTGTGGATGGAAAGGGCTAATAAGATTCAAGATGCAAATGTAGAGATAGTTTTATAACTATGCTTCTTATTTCGTTCAACATTCCACTCAGCAAATAAGTGTGCTTCAACTTATCGAGAGCCATTTCCCATTAGCGTGATGCTTACTCGCACAGAGCTTTTCTGGAGCTCGTGTACCCCCATTTAAATGTCCCTGGTGCTCGTTTACACTCCCACTCACAGATCATTCTGGTTGTTTCCACTTTGCATATTTCACTTCATTATTGTATGAATCTCTTGGTTTCTCATACTTTCCATGAACAAGGTGAATGAAAATTATGAATAGAGCAAGGCAATGAACAAAAACTTTTGTACTGTCAGTGAAAGAGGTCAAAGATGGACATACAATGTCAATACGCCAAGACAAACCGTTTCGCCACTTTAGCTTCACAACTCCACTTGCTAGTGTACCTCCAAAATAAATGTTGAACGGCCAGAAAGAGAGGAAAGATAAAACCAGTAAATCCGTGTAAAGTGTGAGTAACAAATTGGGGCTCAGACGGGAATCTCTTTACCAAAAAATTAACAGAAGTGTGGATGCGAAAATATTATCTCTTGAAAAGAAATAATGAAATAACTTTGCCTTTTCTATTAAAGTGCATGGACGAAGTAGACCGTAAAAGGAAACTCAAGATTATAAAAAAAATTCGAAGTCAGCTCGAAGGAAATTTAGACAGTATTGAAGAAGATGAAGACAAGGTTGCATTCCAATTAAAGAGAAAAATGCCACGGAACAGTCACTAAAAACATGAAACAACAATCAAATGAAGATCCGCAAGCCTTCCTTATGCAAACTTTGACAGTGCATCGAAAGAATCAGATACTGTACTGGTATTAAATATGAGACAGTCAACCAAAAGAATGGGAAGAAATTGCATGATTGAGGATGGGCTATAAAACCCCCTAAGCAAAGCAAGTATGATTAGTGTCCCACACCAAGTGTGATTAGGGTAAACCACATTGCAAGGTCTTGTTTGTCACGACCAAGAGTGAGCCGTCGAACAACCCACTGAAAGTCCCACTGATATAATTGTAAGAACACAATGTTAATGACTCGCTCACAACAGTGTTCCAATTGCAAATCGGTTTGTCACTGATCAGTGGGATGTCAACAAAATCATTGGACAACCCATAAGAATTGGTGTAAGACAATTAATCAGGAAGCTGTATTCCCCCAGGCGACAGTTCAGATGGCAGAATTCGCCAGTCATATGACGCCAAAACAACATGCGCTTGCTCATTTGGAAACAAATGTCCTGTAACTTTTCGCCTTAATGATAAAAAGGTCACGGCATTGTGGGACACTGGTACCCAGGTTCCACCAACGATTACTATCAAGAACATTAAATGGGACACCAAAAGCAGTTTTCTTTTTCGCAAATGGTCCAACCACAGACGATTAGACGCTTGGTTTTTCGAAAGATTCATGAAGTAAGGTGTGAGGTTCTTTTAGCCAAAAATAAGGAAAGATATCGACCACTTTGTGCACCACGTTGCCGATGTATGAAGCAAACACAACAAAACGGCACCCCGGTCTTCCCCGGACAATAATCTTTCCGATCATTACAACAACGCCATTTCAAATGATATCAATTGATTTTGTTCACCTGGAACAGAGTTCAGGCGGATTCGAATACATTCTCCTGGTGGTGGACCATTACAATAAATTCGTTCAAACCTACCCGAGTAAGAATAAGAAAGGAACGACAGCAGTGCGGATAGAATACTCAACAATTTCGTTTAGCGCTTCGGGTTTCCAGCGAAAATTACGAACGCGCGTAAAATGCAGCCTCATAACCTGAGTAATTTCGCTGTAAAGTGTGAGTAACAATAGCCCGGCTTTCTCATACGGCTATATTGGTTGCATTGATGAAACCAACACCGTAGATTAGAAACGAGGAAGTATCAGTCATCACATGCATACTTACAACTAAATTTTGAACTTCGTCGGATAATTTCTTATGATTATCGCGTTCCAGCTGCATCCGTTTATTTTTTTCGTCCATGTGTTCCATATGATCGCGAGCTTTCTAAGGAAATACAGCATTTTTGACAACCACTTAAGTATTTTAGTCATATCAATAGCTGAAGTCACAGTTAATAGTTAATAGAGGAACCTTAGGGCTATTAGTTATGTCGTTCCAGCCATTTAGATGCATGCATAATCACATGAAAAGAAGTATGAATTTCTGCCTCAACGGATAATGTTACCTCTTTAATTGAAAAGAGAAAAAGGAAAATGCAAGCCAATATTTAAATCCGGTCAGAACACGTAAAAATTCGAGCAAAATGAGTGGTAATTAGTGTGATTATGAAATTGTATTGTACAAAACTGTAATTACTGATTGTTAGCTACTTTTCACCTGCAGCAGTTTATCATATCTCTCAAGTTTCTCTTCCAACTCATCCAGTTCTTTCAAACCTTCATCAATACACTCCATTATGTTTTTCACCTGACTTTCGGAACTCATGATAGATGATATGTTAGCCTAAAATGTATTTAAAACATCGTATTATATATTATAACACATAATTTATATTTACATTTACATTACGGACACAATAATGACAAAATTTACCTAATGTTTCAAATGAGATTTTGAGAAAGAAAACAAGACAGATATGTCCGCTATAGAGTGCACAAGTCTTTCCTAGTTTTTACAATGTACACTTACTCCATCAAGCAGAGATAAATCTCTGGATAGTTTCTCAGTGAAAGCTTCAATATTGCTGATGGCACATTCGTATCTCGACATAGTCACGTCTAAATCTTTCTCTTCACCTGGCGCCAGCTGTTGATAGTCATCTAAATTCAAACAAGGTATTCTTATAAGTTATTTTCAATTCCATGGAAGGTCACAAATTATAGGCATATAGCTACAGAAATCGTTTGGTTATAAAGACAGAGTAGAGAAACATTTATCCAGATAAGTAGCATGTAGAGTACTCCGTTTCTTTTCTGAATTTATACTTTGTCTATAGATGATTGACATGTATATAGCTCGTAGCAATGAATTGCATCATCTACGAACGTGAATTTCAGTTGTGTGTATTACAAATTTAGGAGCTGTGGTACTAGAAATAATAGTTGGCATATTAGGTTTAATTGCAAAAGAACAACACAATACATGTACTGTACAGAAATGGTTTATGGGGTACATTATTATAATAATATTGGACCAAATCTTGATCCTTGGAGAACACCACTGTAAAAGTGGTACACGTAAAATTACTAGTCTCGCTTGACACGGCATTAGAGTTAATTAGCTATATTTAAAACCCTTTTTTGCAAGCCTTTACATATTGTAAATTGTTCCAAAGTATAAAATTATATGTGTTCTTTAATTTTCAAAATCTCTTCAGTCCAAATAAGAAGTAAAAGTACCTTCGATTGCCTCGTGTGCCTGTGAAGATGACAGCTGAGAAGCTCCCGAACGCAAGGTTTCTGTTCAGTGAAGCAAAGCCTTGTTAGTATTTTTTTGCTCCATTACTTGCACACTTGCACATTACTTGCACACTTGCAGAAGCATACAGGAGGGGAAGTACTCCAACGTTAACCTTGTACCGATTCAGAGGATGTGTTAATTGGTATGGCAGAAAAGTGCACGGTGGGGGTAGTACATTACAATGTAATCTAAGATACTAAATAAAATTTAGTTCAACCTTCGATGCTTTGTTGATTGACATTGACAAAGGCTGGTTTTCTTTGTGGTAAATATCGTGTGCAAACCTAAATTATACAATAAGAATTAGAGCAGTCATTGAATGTACTGTAAAAGAATGTACTGTTAAAGAATGTGCACAGTGCATAGCCAACTACGTACCTAAACTTCAAGGTATAAAGGTTACTGTCTAGTAAATGTAACTATGCGCTTAAAAACAACACATCAAATTTTTGGTTTAGGTTGTGACATTTATTTAATACGAAGGAGCCATGTTAAGCTTCACTTGGTCTCAAATTATTAGTATTACAAATAGATACCAGTCTTATCCAGAAGGTTAGGCATATGTTACTTAGCGGATTCTTGTTCTGGAACATTTTGCAACATTACTAGTATCAGTATACCTATCAGTACAGTATGAAGAATGATTGGAGGCCATATAATTAGGGGTGACCTCTCTTGACTGAAGGTAAAGAAAATATAGGTGAAAGGGAATTAAATAATTTCAAAATCTCTGTCCGGTGGGTTGTTCTGTTGTAACTTCTAAAATAAGAAGGAAATAATAAAGCATAAAACAGGCACATACCTTCCATAAAGCAACAATGAAGGCATTTTTATCTGAAAAACTACTTGCAATCCATTTATAATTCTTTTCAAAAACCAAATCAAACTCAGGCGTTTCCTGTGGTGAGAAAAGAGCACAACTGCATGCATACACTGTAAATGCCAATAATCACCTATATTTTACACCTGTAAATGTAGGTACAATATAATACATAATTGCACTTGTCATAGAGAGCTTAAAATTCTGGAGTTTCTTGGGGGTGCAGCCTAATTAATAGGGTAATCCTGAATAATTAAAGCACATTGTAAGACGTACAGGAAGCACAAAATTTAGCTCTTTGTTACCTGTTAGGTATATTCACGGACATTACATGTATTTGCAGTGCTTACATGCAAAGTTTAACCAATTAAGAAGTGCAAACTTAATTTATTCAGTGAGTCTTTATTGTGTTGAAACATTGAGATTGACAATGACGAGATACAGAGAATACTTCTTGAGGTTTTGTAATCTGTGCATGTGTAGATTAATGATACTGTAAAATTTTTAACCTACTGTATAGGCATCTTTTCCATCCACAGTTTTCATATCCTTTAATAGCCATGATGTTCTCTTTTTATAGCTTTCCTTATCTGTCCTTTTCACTTTATATATGGTAACATACACTGGTCTTTCATTTGAAACTATATACAAATGTACTGCTCATAAATTAAATAATTAAATGGAATTAAAGGATATTTAAAATAAGACTTTCCCACTCTGAGGTTTTTCTTACTATCTTCGAAAGTATAAATAAAGTATATTGAGTATAAATAAAGTATATAAAGTATAGTCCAGAAACTCTTCTGATGAATTCCCTTACAGTATATGGGTTATAACAAAAAAAACCCTCCTAATGAACTACTTTAAGCAGGTGCAACATTATACCACATTTGAAGACAGGTTTTTTGAAGAAGCTGCCATGCTGCAAATTTGATGTGTATGAAACAACATGTACCATAACAAAACTAAACACTTGCATTCCTAAAACTGTGACAAATGTCAAGCCACATTAACACTTATACATGTATGAATGATGTGATGCAATTGTCAACCCACCCCTTCCTCCCTACCTGTGCTCTCCAACAGATAGATTGACAATAAAATGAATTACACTGACAAATCATGCATGCACTCTTATACTTACGCCAGGGTTGTTCACACAGTGTTCACGATCCATAAAGAGTGAAATCACGAATATATGTATATTCATTTATAGCCTATCGATTGCTAATTCGCTTGTCACTTGTTTTTTAATATCGTGTTATCAATAATAATCGGGAAATGGTAATTTAAATCAACCTACCTGCTATACAAAGAAAGCTTGGTTTTCTCTTCTTGCCTGCTCTACTAACATTTGTAAAAGCAAATAACTTTTCATCGCTTGGATCGAAAACTTCTTTCTGCAAGCTGCTTCTCAAAGCAGCCATTGTTTTCCTCGTTCCCAGACTTACAGTCTTACACGGTTTTACTGGAGCAAATTCTGGAGCAATAGAAAATACTCATTTTACCGTAAAAAAGTGTAAAGGATAAAGACGTACCATGTAAGAAAAGGTGCATAGGAGATAAATCAATGGAATTAGACATATACCGAGTGAAAGCAAAATCTGTTCGGCTTATCCTGGTATTTGGCCTTTTTTCACTTTTTCGCCGTGTTTTCCAACATTTGCACGGTTACCGGAAGTTATGCGGGAGGTCTGGGAAGTGGGAAAAGTTGAAAAAAGTTGGGGTGTTTTGAATCCTTACACTGTTTTAATAGCAGCGTAAAGATCTATCATTCATAAGTTTATTCGGTTTAGACTTCCTGATATCATGTCTGCTGACAGCTTTTTCAGGTTCGTAGAATTTCATGGAGACTTTTCAAGTATTCCATTTGCGTGTCTCAAAATATTTTCTGGTTTCATTCTAGTGAAGGCAATGAGGCTTTTGCTGATGATGATTACATAGAAGCCATCAAGGTAAATGTAAAATCTTAGTATTTTAGTATGCGCGCATAATTAGCAGAAAAATTAGAGACTGGTTGGGATGATTATGTAGCATTTGTTTAGACATGTCCACAGATGGAATTATTTAGTACAGGTCCGCATAAGAACCCCAACAGAAGCCCACATTTTTAATAGTTCTGGGTAAACATTCGACAAACCATAAGAATACATAAGTCCTACAACTAGTCCTAACTGTGACCTCTAACTTAAATGTATAATTAAATATCAAAATATAATGTGAAATAGTGCAAGGAAGAATTAACAAATGCATGATGCCATGCACCACAACACTACTGACATGAATATAGATATATTGAAACAATATTAATTACCAAAAACTACTAAAATTATTTCATTAATTATATGGCTCTAACGGCAGTACAATTTGCACAACATAATCTAAAGAATAAGGATAAAACAGTTCATACATCAATTCAAACAGTTCAATCTAATAAAATTGCTTGCTTTTACATCTTGTATTCTACACAAACAAACAACATATTTATGGAAGGCTGCATGGTAGCCTGTATGAATACCCTTATTACCTTTCTTTCTGTACCTTTCTTTATTTATAGCAACTGGCCTTTCGTACCTTTCTTTAATTTCTTTAACTACCTATATGGCTGTTTAAACAGCGCATCTAAAGCGTCCTTAAAATTTTATTTGTGTAGTGCATGTCATGTTGTAAGAAACTATATATATAGTATCTGCAATATACACTGGATGGATCATATATGTAGTTTGGGTGTATTATTGCACAATGGTCCCATTAAATTGTGTGCATATAAGCTTGAGCATGTGGAAAAAATTTTTGTGAATTGTCTTCTGTCTGTATGAGGTGAATAAAAAAATTACATAAAAATCTTTTTATAGTTTAGGACTGGCTTTGCATCTATTATATATCCAACTAAATCTTTTATTCTTAGCCTCAATTGTGATGATTACAAGTATGTTAAAATCTGCATCACAGTACTAGCTATAATGTATAGCTCTCTTATTTAGAAATACACATCAGCAATTGAACAGAACGCCCAAAATCCAAAGTATTATAACCAAAGAGCCAATGCCTTTATAAAATTGGGAAAGTATCAAGGTACCAATTATATAATACAATTACTCAAACAATCTTACAAACAAAAACCTTTAAATTTAGAAAAACAACCCTATTGTGCTAGAAAACTGTTACGAATGAGGCAAAAATTACCTTGTGTTAGAATACAATCCTCAAATTCTCCTATTATTTGAAAGAATAAAGTTTATAGAAATAATTGCTGACAGAGTAAATATTCAACCTAATCAATCAGGCTAATAATTTTTTCATCATCTATAGATGCTCTTGCTGATACATCATCTTCTATAGAGTTGGATGCAACAAATGCAAAAGCTTTTCTTCGTAAGGGGTAATCTTGTATTGATTTTGGTTATTTCACAGTATATTAAGAAATCAGATTTTTATCATTTACTCATAGTATGAGTATGTGTATACAAAGTTTAATCACTGATATGAATTACAGCTAATATTTATTGATTAGCCAGAGTACCAATGCCTACTAAAGGGGTTCCCACTTGCTTTTATAGTTGTAGTACAACTTTTTTATTGCTCCAAAGCATGCAGTAAAGCCTTACTCCTTAAATGGAGCTGGCACCTTTTATTCACCTGACCTAAAAATTGTATTATACTGTTGAACACACACATTTCACATTGTCACATGGTTATATATGTACTGTATGCATCACTGACTAGTTTAACAAGTTGTTTTAATATACAGTAAAAAATTATGATGAAAAAAGCTACAGTATATTAAAATTATGGAATGTAAATTTATCAGCATACATATATATTGTAGTAGACATAGCCAATTTTTTAATTAAGTGTTACATTATTTTAATATGTCGGTTTTTTTAGGATTGCTCATTTCCATCTTAAAGAGTTCATGAATGCTAAGGAAGCCTTTAGAATGCTCTAAAACTAGAGGGTATAGTAATTACTAAGTTCTTTCTGCGAATCCGGATTTTTTGGGGGTACAATGCCATAAAATATGCATCCTGAAAAAGTGGTAAAAAATAGAAATAAAGAAGTGGTCTTGAATCATGACATAAGATTTCAATGATACAAAAACCTGAGTGGAATTTTAATTTGAATTTAAAATGGTATTTCAATCCGTACTTTTGGCAGTTTACTTGTTTATGTTAAGAAATAATGTAAAGATATACAAGTCCTGTAGCTGTGCAACTTTTACAATGTTACCTTACAGATTCAGAAGAAACAAAATCATGGATTTTAAAGTGTGATGCAGAACTTCCAGGTTTCTTGGGTTTTTTGTTTCTTCACTTCCGGGTTTCTTGTTGCTTATCGACGCACACAACACAAATCTCAAGTAGTTGTCATGTTAAAAACCCTGCAATATTTTTCTTTATCATCTTACACAGTCAATATGTATATGCTCTTGACATAAGTACCGCACGCTGTACATGCTATTATTTCGTGAAAGTTCAATCGCATGCAATTAATTTGAAGCACGTGCCTTATTTTCTATCAACAACTAATAAGCGACAAAATATTTGTAGCAAAATTTCTTATAGCAAACATGTCGCTATATAAAAAAATTATTTCAAATGCTTAATTACCTTGTGCTGATTAGATCATATTTTGTATTGTTGGAAAACCGGGCACGATTTACACAACACTTCATGTTATTATATAGAAAGAGCTGAAACAAACAAGACCACTGTCAATTCAAAGACTATAAATGAACCAACTAAAGAAAAGCCTAAACCAGGGTACAGTAAAGTACAGTAAACTACACACTTTACAGTACGGATGTATTTTGATTTTTATGTACTTTTACTTTTTGTGTGACAGATATGACTGGTATCAAACAGATTCACGTGTTGTCATCAATATTCTAGTCAAGAACAGAACCTCAGACGACGTTAAATGTGTTATTGAAGATACTTTTGTAAGTAACAACAGTACATGTTGGTACTTACTTTTTATTCTATATATATATTGTTGACGTTGGAGAATTGTTTACCTTACGGGAAGGCGTTGGTTGTTGCAAATTTTGTAATTTCTTTTTCTTTCAGGTTTCAGTATGCGTTAGACTCGAAGATAAGAGTGATTTTTCTCTGTCGCTTACCTTACCAAATGCAGTCATTCCCGCTCAATCCAAGTATAGAGTTTCAACTGCAAAGGTGACAGCACCTTAGTGGTTATTCAGAATAGAACCATCTACAATTCCACATACGAACGCGGATGAACTAAAACAAAAGAATCAAACGACTTAACAAATTGACGAGATATTCAAAATGTTCACAGTGCCCTTGTTGAGTACTACGTCTGGTGGTGGTGCCTGTTCTTGGGCACCGTGCTCAAATTCATTTGAAAGCGTCGTATTCAACTTAAGGTCGTGTTACATGGAGCAATTTTTCTTGCAACTTGCAATGCAATCCTATTTTTCCTGTAGATCGAAATACAATTAAAGAAAGCCGAGACAATCAGATGGTCAAGCCTTGAAAAAACGAGTGAGATTCATTTAAACCAATTTCCATTGACAACAGAAGGTAAGTAGGCTGAGATCAACACTGCAGTTATGAGACCAACAGTGCAGTATTTCTGCTGTGTATCATTTACATGTTAACGAATAACCACTTTTTTGTGTTACTGCACATATCTAGACACTAAACAAATTTCGGCGTCTTCGCACTCCTACCCTACGTCAAGTCATGTACACCGCAATTGGGACAAACTGGCCGCCGATATAGAAAAAGAAGAGCAGGAGGAGAAGTTGGAAGGTGATGCAGCATTAAATCAATTGTTTCAAAAGATTTACGGTGACGGAAGTGATGAAGTCAAGAGGGCAATGAACAAGTCTTTTGTTGAGTCTGGTGGTACTGTACTAAGCACAAACTGGAGTGAAGTGGGAAATAAGAAAGTTGAGTGTAAACCGCCGGATGGTATGCAGTTTAAGAAATATTAGTGATAAAAGTCAAGAAATACAAAAAGAAGAAAAGTTGCTGTTGTCAAGAACTTTGGTTACCTCTACTAGATGCATGGCTGTGCCCAAGTCATTGGTTAATTAACTCGCTTCATACAGTTTTGTTAACATAAACGATTGTTCATATCTAACAATGGCATCATAAATAGTTTTGTTGGAATAACCAAACATTGAGCATGATTTACATGAACAATTTTTTAAATGTTGTTTTCACTTTCTCTGCACCTAACTCTCCTCACTATCGCATTTTGTTCGCAGCATGCCCACTATGCCAGACCCTAAAATACGAGTTAAAAAAATTAAAGTTAAAAGTATATTACGGATCAGCGTAGATTTTTCGTCGTCAATAGTTTTTGTCGTTGTTATTTGGTATTTAGAATCGTGTGCGGATGAGATTTAAAACAATTTTAATTAACAGTAGCCGAATTTATGTTAAAAGACGGATTTCCGTCTGAAACTCGCCTTGATACCTGTGCTCTCTTCTTGGACGACATTTTGTATCGCAATATACGCCGCGAAGCTTCATTGCCGGTCTTATATTTGGGCTAAAATTTGTCTGATTTATTCGTCAAATATAAATTTAGGACAAGTTTTCCGTCAAAGACAGTCCAAGCAAATTTTTATCACTAGACAGAGTGGCGACGCAAGCCAAGAAGCAAACAAAATTGATGTTACTAAGAAAGATCCCAAGCAAATTTGGAAGCTCATAAATGAATTAAGGGTCAATTAAGTTCTCGTAAAATTAGTAACGTAGCTTATAACTGATCCACCTGTTATTGCGGATGCTTTTAATTCATACTTTACTTCGATAGGTGAAAATCTTGCAAGCAACATAGATAACTCAACGATGGAATCACCACCATCCAGTCATTCATCCAAAACCTACAAACGCAGTATTTTCTTTCAGTGAAATAGAAATTCAAGATGTAACTCATTTACTTAAAAATGTCAACTTTAACATGGCCACAGGTCTTGATGGCATTGCTGGAAAAATTCTGAAGCTAGCAGCTGATATTTTGGGCCCTTCGTTGACAAAAATATTCAACCAATCTCTCAACCGGGGAATTTATCCGGATGATTGGAAAATGGCTAAGGTTGTTCCTGTCTTCAAAAACGGAGCAAGAAATGATTTGAACAATTAACCTCCAATATCAATTATTTCGGCAGTTACATGCCAAAATATTCGGAAAATTAGTGCACGATCAAATTTATCGTTACCTGACGAGCAATGATTTATTCTCCAAATAGCGATCTGGGTTTCGACCAAACCACAGCACTCTTACTCCCCTATTGGAGACTGCTAGTAGTTGGAGTGCTAATATTGACAACGGTTTCCTAAATGGAGTTGTTTTCATTGACTTGAAGAAAGCGTTCGACACTATACACAACAACATACTTCTACTTAAATTAAAACACTATGGAGTAGATAAAATTGCTTTGACATGGTTTCACTCTTATTTATCAAATCGAAAACAGAGGTGCTTTGTTCAGTGGGAACCTTTCCGAAACTTGTCCAAAAACGTACGGCGTTCCTCAGGGCTCTACTATTGGTCCTCTTTTGTTTTTGGTCCTAATCAACAACCTGCCGGAATGTTTGAATGAGGTCGGGTTGCCAACAATGTTTGCCGATGATACGAATATAAGTTTTCAAAGTAATAACTTTGATGATCTTGAAAGAGTTATGAATACTGAATTTGAAAAACTTAAAGAGTGCAATTAACAAATTAAGTTTAAATATTGCCAAAACCGAATTCATGGTTATCGGTTCTTGTCAAAGACTTGCAACTTTCGATGATCATGATATTCATATTCAATAATAAAAAAATTGAAAAGATAGATAGTACTAAATCACTAGCACTTTCTATTGACGAAAATTTGACCTAAAAGAAAAAAAAAATTTACGATATTTTTTAGAAAGTATCATCTGGAATAAGTGCTTTAAACCGAATAAGAAGTTATGTCAATCACGATACAGCAGCTATATATAGGGTGTATCAGGGATTAATCGAGCCATATTTTTCCAACATAGAGCTGCACGTGCATGTTATAACTTGCTCTCCATATGATGCCTCCTCTAGCTCTGTTCCTGAAAAACTTGGTTAGAATAACTTGCATGTTAACCGTAAAATGCAAAAAGCGATTCTCATGCATAAAGTCAGGAACGATTTAACACCTATGTATTTAAAAGACTTGTCACTAGAGTTAATTACTATAGTTTCAGCGATTCAAATGGCAAATTATTTGCTCCTAAAGCTAAAACTGACTATCTTATCCTTTAGTTTTAGTGGAGCTTCACTTCATTATAGCATAGCTTGCCTGAGACCTTGCGATTCTCTGAATCACTTTCTTCATTCAAAAGATCTTTAACACTTAATTGTTATTCTATTCAGCTTAATTAATCCGACTCCCACACGGCAACCTGGAAGAACAGTAGTTTTATTTATCGATTATATAATTTATAGAAGTTTAGAGAAATTTATCATGTATGTATTTCCATGGTCGCATTGCTAGGGAAAGCATAGCAACGGACAACGGACATCAAATCTATAATTTGCCCTTGCTCGTGTTGATCACGCGTAATTATGGAGATTTTAAGCCCTCCACGCGCGGACCTCTTGTCAAAGGCATATAATAATGAAACTTGCATCGATGCAAGCGTGATCTTAGCTTCTTCAGAAGAAACTAATCACCCGAATGGGCACTTACAGAAACCAAACATGACAACAGTGATTCGATATATAGATACTGTATCAATTACTGCGTCATGAACCTGTGCAACATCTTATATATCCAGGGTATTGGGACCTGTGTATCTATTGTGATTTGCAAACACCGCATCCATATTGATATAGTTGCTAGTAACCGCACGGTTTCTGTGCTTGAATTATGCACACGTGAAATATTCGCTTGAACATCGGTCCATCTAGTCCCGCTAGTTAAGGCACTGAGTTGATTCCTTTTGGTTAACGAGGTGAGTTTGAGAATTGCAGTAATTTAATTAGTGTGACGTCATTGTTATTAAAAAGTTACTTCAAGGGATCGTATATTAATTATTGTGGATTTTTTTTTGCTTAAATACGTTTATTAGTACTAGGAAATTTACAATAATCAAACATGCATTAAAACTAAGTATAACAGTTCTAGATACTATTTACAAATATTGCGGAAATTGCAGGGGGAAAGTGTACACGGCAATTGCCCAACAACTATCTGTAGCTTTCGTCTGGATTATTGTTGGTATTCAAATTCCGTTCAGACGAAAGCTACATTTTAGTTCGAATTTGGTTTGCGCACGCACCAAACTTTGATAGAAAAATAGCGTAGAATATGTAGATTTCCAGAGTTCCAACGTGAGTCGATATTGATACGCCAATTAATTTAACACAAACGACAGTTTCTTACTCACAAGCAGGTCCACGTTAAACACTGACTAAAGTCTGACTTAAGTTTGCTTGGGTCGGCTATATTTATGCAGAGCGATACCGGAAAGTGCAATAGATCAAGAACTGGTGTTTTGTGCAACGGACATCGCTAGGTGAGCCTGGGAAACCGCATTGCGCATTTGCTGACTAAACTTACGCATTTTGGTTTAGCGGTTGTGGCTGCAGAAAATAACAAGGTTGTTTTTGCCAATACAATCATAGAAAACATACGTTGGTCCCTTCCGTTTTGAAACTAACACTATCATGCATATACCTGTATTTTATTCAATACGGCAGAATATATGATAAAACAACATACTTTCATTAGATTATAATTATTTATTTACAAATATAGTTCAATTACAATGAAAAAACAAAAATACTCTGTATAAACATGATAATATAATTATAAAGCAACATGCACAGAAATTAAAATTAATTTGAGGGCATGCACACTGCCTTATTTATATAGGTTGCAAAACTTATATCATATCATATACACATACAGTTATATAGCCTACACCTGCGTTGGTCTATATAAATTAAGGGATGACTTGGATGGCCTGGGTATGATTCAATCAGAATGCATGTGTATATATATATATATATATATATATACAGTAGGAGGCAAAAGTTTGAGTCCAGTCGTTGTAGAATTCCAGTATTAAATCCTGGCAGCGTATTGGAGTTAAGACATGCGTGCTAGTGTTTCAGTACTGTAAACTATATTAATTGCACACTGTTTTGGTCCTAATGATCTAAATTATAACAAAATAAAGTTCTCATTCCTTTACACTGCCCAAGATGGGTAGGAAAAAGGGCAAAGTGATGGTGCACAAGGACAAATAGTTCCATTAAGTATTGAAGGATTCTTTCCTCGTAAGATCGCAGAAGAAGTGAGAATTTAAAAAGGTGGTATGCAACTAACCTTGGAGAGGTTCGAAGAAACTAAATCCTACTCAAGCAAACTTTTAGCTGCTTTGGTCATGCTCGGTTTGGCAATATTGAAAGATATAATAGGATCATAATTAAAGAAAGTATCATCCAATTCTTCAAGGACATGGAATTTCATCTGGTACAAAGATGATCGCACGTCTAACTACATGATAATCACCCTAAGCACATGCACATCTTCTATGTGCCAGAAATCGTTTAGAAGCATACTCATTCTGGTGATCTCGTTGTCATGGCTTTCCACCTCATATTCCAGATCTAAAACCTATGGAGCACTTGTAGAACCGTTTTAACCGGAAGAGGGCGAGGCACAGACCCGCCAGCCAGGCTGACTTGAGGCAAGTGGTCAACGAATGCTGGCAAGGTATTGAACGTGTGACATTAAAAAACCTATGGAATCTATGCGAGCAAGAATAAAGGTCATTTCAAGAGCAAAAAAGAGGGAACTAAGCAATGACATGTAAATGCATGTTTGCACATTAAAATACGTAAAAAATGAATATCATAACATCTCATAGTTGTTGTACAGCATGTATTTTTCTGTTTACTTGTTTACTTTTTTCTAGTTCACTTATCGGTAAGGTTTTTGTGTAGAATATTAATATATGCTGCTGAAACAAAGAAATACAGTCACTGGACTCAAACTTTTGCCTCCTACTGTATATTACTATTGATCGAATCTAATGCTCTTTATTGAACATGCAACTGATTTATATAACATGTTTCAGTTGATATATAAAAATGAAAAGCTGTGGAATATTTTATGTGGACTGTATATAAGCTTAAAATGTTCTGTAATCCATATACGAAAACGGATGTTTTCTCGATTAGGCTTAGAATGTTACCTGGACTACGTCTAGTTGTAGTCATTATAAGGACAAGAGATATCATATAACAACGTGATTTTTCAGAACATTATTTTGTATTTCAAATCTCCTCCGCCCGTCACGTTTTCCGCGCGGCCGTGGCCTTGATGATTCTGCTTTGGGCGGCGCCTTGCAAAAGTTTTTGTCCACCTTATAATGACAGTCTTTACACTTAACGTAGCAGCACCAATGAAACTGACAATCGCATTTGCTCTCATCATCCATTTCAATTGTATCGAAACCTCGTCCACAGCATAGAGCGGCACAGCTCCCGACACCGTCCCTTGTTTTGTTGCATTCACGCCCTCCTGTTCCAGGCGATCCCGTCGCATCGTCTTTCCTGCAGTAGTCCGGCGAATTCTCCAAAAAGACCATCGCCTCCCCGGAGGGTTTCTTCCTTTTGTTGACTTTCGATAAAGATTTTCCAGCTTGGTCGACAGTAACTTTGATGGCGTTCAAATACTTTCGACGCAACAAATTTCCGACTGTTTCAAAGGGCATCATTTGTTTCCAACAACTTTTCACGGCGCAAGAACCAGATACTCCGTGGCATTTACACTGGAGTTCCATTAAACGTCGAACTGCCTTTAAAAAAAGAAAAAAAATCTCATTAGACATTATCCAACAGAACAAACGAGTTCTTAAGAATATTTTTCGGATAAATCAAGACAGACATGCATAATTATGAGAATAGTAAGTCGTAAAACTCTTTATTACTTTATTTATTAGTCATAAAACTCTTTCGTAAAACTCGATATCATTCTCAACACTCGAAATAAATTCCATATTTCCGCGAATCCATGCATGTATTATTCTCTATATAACAGGATGCCAAATGAGAACGACCGGGGAGACTGGATAAACTAGCATATAATTTGGCATTCATGAAGTATGGAAAATATGCCTCGTGCATATAAGTATTGGATTCCTGTGATGCTGCATGCGTTTTGCATGATAAGATCTGTTAATTGCGACTTTGCCTGATGGAGATTCTTGATTAAGGTAGACAAGAAAAAGCCACAGGTGGTGAAGTGCAATTTAGCAATTAAATCGACCGCCCTTCCTTCTAGTGCATGACGACATTTTAACGATTGTTTATATACGCATCTATAATAATAGTTCATATATATATCGCCCCCTACACATGTAGACGCATGAGAATATTCTCACCATGTATTCCCGAAATGACGTCAAAGATCTGAAATTGATTATATATACAATATATCGATATATGTTTATATTTATCGATGTGAACAATAAAGGACATGTTAGGATCTTATGTTTAGAAATTGGCAATATATTCTATTAGCTTTATCTCATCAGTGTAGTGTTTTATCCATTATTGTAAAAACGTTCAACGATAACTAACCAGTCGGAACAGCATACACACTTAAAAAAATTGCGTTCGTAGTGCACCCTTATAAAAATTGCGTTCGTGCACAAAGAAAACTTTCATGTGTAGTGCTGATTTTTTTTAATCATTAACCACTTGGCTTGCCTGTTACGAGCTAACTCAATTATGTTTTCGTAACGATTATAAACATTATATATGCACCAGTTTCCCGTTCTTTGCCAATTAGGTTTACGTTATTGCCTGCAATTGCCAGTCAATTTCCTACAATTGAACAATCAATCAAAGGTCTAGCAAGGTTAAGTATTCGGCAAAAATTTAAATAATCTTGGATTCACCATCCTCAGAAAGATGAAATCATTTTGTTTGTTTGATAAATTTGCATTAATGCATGCATGGAAGACATTTGTTGAATACAACTGGTTGTCCCCAGCACGACGACTTGAACTTGGGCCCAGATCGGCTCCTCTAATGGCAACATCGATTTGGATTATAAACCTGGAAATTGGCTTGGTCCGGAGTTTGAAATATTTCGTGACGACCTGACGTTTGCCCAGAGTGCTTTGATTACGAACAGAAATAAAGTATTCGTGCACCGAAATCATAGACAGTTTACTTGCTTTGAAAAACGAACCCTTACATGAACTCGATATTCTCTTAAATGCTGGATTAATATGAATCTGATTTTATGAGCAATGTTATACGTAAACCAATAAAATATAGCAACGATAAATCAGTGTATATATAAACAAAACAAAGCCCACGGTGCCGTTGAGTGGCTCTCGGCATTTGAAAAGGATCGAGCATGAAACATCTTGACGATATCCCCATATATGGTTCACTGTACGTTCAGAATTACATATAGCCATTTTTGGTACTGATGTGTCCAAGAAGCCGTTTACATGATCCCGGTTGCTCGAGATTAAACATAAAAAGCTTTTGAGATATTGAAATAAGTCTTTATGGAACCAAGTGAATGAAGCACATCAGTCGAGATGATGATTTCATCCCTTAATTCAACACCTCAAAGTCAATTCATGCATGCACGCTTCTCGAATTTATTATTTACTTTCGTAAAAAGTAACCTGTACTTTGCAAATCGTTATTATGCACGTTGCGTATCATTCATTACTTGTAGTTGGTGTATCATTCTTTATGTACTATTATATTAATTCAAATATGTACTTTATATTATTACCATATGTACATATCACCTTATGTACTATTATTACCATACAGATATCGGCATGTTCACACACTGTAAGTCGGTAACAGAACATAGAAGCTTACCTTTCGTCCGACTTTGTTGTTGTGTAGATTCATAAGCGCGGGTGGATCTTGCTGGGTTTCACGAGAGTCAATAAACGTGCGGGCAAACTGGATTCCGTAACCAACATTCTCGCTGCATCCTCCCCACTGAAATCCATCGTTTTCACTTGTCTTCTCATTCTTCCTGTCGCAATTGCATTCTCTCAGCTCTCCTCGGCTGCAAGCACGGGTTACTTCGTACACGACACCTGCCGAGGTTATTGCATGCACAAACGCCGTCTCCTTATTGGCTACAAAGTAAGAATTATTATTATCATTTTTTTTCCGATATATATTCAGATTATTACCATTATCTAAATAACTGACGAAATGCACACTTATAATCATAAGAAACACCGGGTTCTCATTATTTTCGTGTATATAAAGTAACATAGTATAGTGTAGTGGCACGCAAAAAATCCGTCGACATGTATAACCGATTCTGGACTAAATCCCAGCATATGAGAATAACATAACACTTAAAGCCGTGTTACACGGTGCAATTCTGCTCTTGAGAGATGTAAATTATTGGAAAGTTTTCGAAATAAGAAAACATCCCTGGAGTGTAATAAGCACTTTTCAGGATTTTTCAGATCTCTCTAAAATTGAATTGGATCACAAGTTGAAAGAAAAACTGCATCGTTTGACACGGCTTTAACCAAAGGGCAAGGTTAGTAAGATTCAAGAACAGCACTTGTATATTAGCATATCACGAAACCCACTATCTTTCTCGAATATAGCTTAGTGGGGTTAAAAAATCTCGCAATTTAATAAGAGTGATCTCTTGTCATCAAGCATAATCAGGAAATCTAAAATTGTGCTAAGGAGGGGCTTCGTGCAGTGATGAAATCGTACTTCGTGGGTCAAATCCTTTATAAAGTGCATGCTATATTTCTAAATAATTGCGTATGTCGAGCACGTTCATCCGAAAGTAATTTACACTAAAGTGTTTTCATATAGCAGTCTCGTACAGTGCTCTTGAATATATTGGCCCTGGTCTCATTTACCATTCAACTTTTAAACGAACTGTTGCAATGTTTGGCTGCTGTTTGGCGATATCTAAGAGGAATATTGCCATATATTCTCATGTACCAATATATATGCTTCTTCTAGATTTATCATCAATGCTATATTTAGGTTTGTTTCACTTTTTAAGCACCTACGTTCGTCAGTAAGTTTATTATAATTGTGTATGATACAAAGTACATTTTGTATTGCATTTATAGCTATTTTTACTCTTTTCTCTATTGTGACCATACATGTACATGGAAGTCTGCCAGTTCATGCAATATACTAATACGATTTCACCACGTGAATGGTGATAATGGTGTATAATTATACTGTTTTATTCTGGCAATTTTTTTTGGTAAACCACAGCGATGTAGTATTATAGTCTTTACGTAGTTTGTTTCGTTCTATATTTTATCAAAATACTCAGCGGTTACCAGAATTTAATAGCATCTAGAGTTACACCATTTAATGCCAAAAAAGCAAAATTGAAAAACCCCATCCTGCCCTGTAATAGGTATGTTAAGTTTATGTGCTTTATATATACCGCTAATTAAAAAAACCCTAAACTTTAATAAAGGCATCAATGTTGGGTTATGTAATTTCTTAAAATTACCATTGCATAGAGGGTTTTTCTTTTTGCATACAATTTCATCAACTTTTCTTTGCCACGGTCGTGCATGCATACACGTAAAATTTTAATCTGTTGAAATGTTGCTTATATAAAATAGGCAACACCAATAAATATAACTTAACAGTATTTATTTGTGAACTGGTTTAAAAATGCTGCTTGGAATCAAGACCCTTGTGATTTATGAGCTCAGGATAGGTGATATAAACAAATTAATCATGCATGGGCCGTCCAACTTTAATAGCTGCTTACACTTTTTTAAATGTAAGACCTTCTGTTTAATATTGTCTGCATGCACTGCATGCTAAACGGGGTAAGGTTGCCAGGGAAGATTCGACACGACTTAGTGTCAATGACGTCTTTGAGTGGTGAGGTTTTATGCTGAGGCAGTACACAACCACATGCACTGATCAGAACAAGCCGCGCCTGAGAATGGAGTGGGTGATGTTCTCAGAGGGTTTATCGATGTCGTGAGAAAAACAAACTCCTTCACTTGTACAATTAACTTTACGTGAATACTTCATATTGTTATATAGTTCACTATATACCCGGAGGAGAAAAACATTTAGACAAGCCCACAGCATTTGTCTCTATCGATATAGCATCGCGTCAAATACAAATTACCAATATAGTTGCATGCTGCAGAAAAGCCTTTTCAAAATGCGTTCGACGGCCCTGCATGCCCCCTGATGTGTTGTTACATAATGGCATTGGTTCGACCATTTTCTTTTAATTTTTTTCATCCACATATTACTATGCGAATGACTTCGAAAGTAGACGAATCCTTGACTTAATGCATGTTATTCTCGTTCTGCAGTAGACAAGTATAGTAATCAGGTATACAAATTCTCCGAAGTATGTCCTTTTTTGATAAACATGGACACGACGACACTGAGTTTCGCATTTGCATTTTTAAAAGACGGCGTGTATATATATTGTCAGTAGAAGTATCAGGTGCTGATTATATATAGTTAGCATCGTGCTAAAATCTCAACAGTCAACACCGAATCTAATTGGAAATGATCGTTTGATGTGCATAGAAAGACATATCAAACGCGACTCAGACAAAGACCAGTTGAATCAACAAGAATTTGACAAAGACAATTAGGATTAAAATCATGGAGACGGTAATGCAGCTAAAACACCCCATGGCATTCTAAGATTAACAAATTCACTCACACTGGCATGTGTGTAACATGTGGTCTACTTACATCTTCGCATGAGCTTTCCAAAGACAGACGTATCTTGTTCGAACGTCGAACAATTCCAACGATCCTGGCTGAACTGCTTCTGACACTGTTCCAAGCCAAGTTTCGCTCCTTTGCCGATGCTCGTCATTACTTCGGGATTTTCTCGGCAAAGCGTTCGCTGTGTACCGACCAAGCCGACTACGTTGTTGCACATGACTTTTGCGCCAAGTGCGTACACCTTCGACATATACCTATATAAAAGAGAAACTATTATACAATCTTGCACTGATGAGAGGACGAGCCAATATTTACCCAAACAAATTTATACGATCGAATATAATGACGATTATAGAATTCTGTGAAAACTTTTATATGCCGCAGTTTACAGTATATATGTATTCATATTATGAAAAACGAAACAAGTTACAAGTTACTCTTTGCTAATCAGCAAATTTGAAAATATTCAGCGTTATTTAATAAACTTTACAATACGGCATTCAGGAATCATGTAAACCTATATTACTTACATCCAGTTTCCATTTGAGAGAATGATAGAATTTAATAGAATAACCACGACGAACAATGCCTTCAAATCCGAGAGCCTCATGATCGCAACGTTGTTCGATTCTTGAGCAGTAAGTGTATACGGTAGAGTAGACGGACGTACGAATGATAGATTTCTAAGGATCAACACTTAAGTGCGCCACAGGAAAGTGGGATATGGTCATTGAATGCTGCAGTCATTTAGCAGCAATTAAGGAGGGAAAGAATGATAATGAATCGCAATAAAAGTTATAAACTGCTCAGCTCTAAGGCTTTAAGGTTGAGAAAATGCGATAGAAATTACGGAGAAGTTGTGTTTACCGCAACTGTCGGGGGTGGAATAAGCTTCCTGGATTGGTTCGATTGCTCAAGAACGAATTTTCGACCCCGTTTGAGCATTGCTTTACGGCATTGGTGTTCTCAATCAGTGTCTTACAAGTTACAAGTTGATAAAAGCAATAAACAGAGCACTTTATATCAATTAAATTGTTTGTATAATATTCGCCTAGAGCCGTATACGCAGCATTGAAGTATATCGCACGTAGTCGTAGGTTATAAAATGTTTTAAATAAAATATTTTCATTACCTCTGGGCGTTCGAAATATCTAGCTGAGGCTTGACTTTGAACAAAACTGAAGCTATTACAGCTATTATCAAGATTCCTTTAAACTCGCCGTAAATGTCTTCGCCGACCGACCCGACATTAATTCCGAAATCAATACCTTAATCCCTTAATTGATTCGTCTATTCAAGGTCGATGTCGAAATGGTCTGCCGTCGGCTCGACAGGCTTTTAACCGTGCAATGGAAGTGAAGCGGTAGGCGTGTACGACATAGCACGGTGCCCTTGCAACTTTTGACAGTCTTTGTGTGTGTGATGGTAAATGGCAGGTATTAGGAGATTAGGAATAGGTGGGTCTTCACCGTATATCGCTAATTATATAGCTATCGCTCACGCCAGACTTTATCGGCAAGCCAACACTTTCCGTAATGAGTTTTTTGGCTGACGTTTTGAGCTGACATGTTCCCGATAATAACGTAGTTGAATTGAATAGGAACAATCAAATGTGTCACACAGTCACAGCGTGTCTCGCTAATTGGCGAACTGTTTTAAAAAAGTTTTGTAACTTTTGCGAATGGGGCAGCCATATTCTCGAAAATCTATAGAAGCAGTATGGCGGTAATTGATTACCGCTTAGCCGATTTAGACTGAATATACGAGTAAACCTCGTAAAGCAGTCTAAGACACGTTTGACTAAATTGCTGGAGGGGAAGTTAGGGGCTATGTCAGTCTGGCAGGCGCTATATTTAAACAAATTATAGATAGCTTTGTTTTAAATTGCTACATAATTATGATGATAAACTTAACGTCAGCATTCCGGGCCTTCTTCGAATTGTAATCAACTTCACACAAACAAGTTAAATTTTACACTATATTTCAAAAGCAAACAATGTTATCAAGTTAGACGAATTATAAAAAAAGCAGCGATAAGAGGTGATGTTACCTGTAGGACTGATGCTATCTGTAGAAAAATAATATTGAATATAATCATGCTGTTCTATAAATAAATATAATATAAATATATATGCTTGTCGTTTTTATTTTTGCCAAATCTTTATAAAAAGGATAAATGTATATAATTATATGGATGATTTACGCCTGCAATAAATGAGCTGGCTATATACAGCTATATAGCCTACAACATAATCTGAGATTAGCGTCGCATCGTGATGTAGCTATTATATATTTATAAAATTATCGGCTGTATATATATTTTAGAAGTTCGCTGGAGTATGGGAATTCACAACTGATTCCTAAATTAGAACCTGATTTTCTGCGTTTTACGCCACTGAATCTGTTAATTCAGTAAAAGTACCTTAGACGAAACAACTTCCAACAACAACTCGCAACGCGGTTTACTCGTCGACTGATGGGATAAAGTATATGAGCCAGTTCAGAACAAGGAAATTGTTTGAGAAACAACTTGAAGTTTATGAACTTTTTTATCCACACAATATCGGTTGTTTAAATATTTGCTTATTATTGCTGCGTTGCGAGTGATTTATAATTTTGTCACGCGTGTAACGTCGCCTTAAAGGAGGCCAAGCCTATTGAGTGAGGATGCATGTTTAGAATACTAGCGCGTAAGTCGTTGTAAAGTCTGTAGTTACATTGCATGCATCCAAATTGAGGTCCAAATGATTCGGATCTTAAAAGTTTTAAAATGCATGTGCATGCACGCTTTCGGAAATAGTGACAGCTTTGGTCTCCCATACAGAGAAGATCAATGAAAAGTTTTAATTAGACAAAGAGTCTTTGCTTGCCAAGTTGAAGGCGATACATATATATGTTCTGGTTGATTGAGTAAAAGTGGAAAAAGATTAGGAAATAATCAACTTGTCCATGACTTGACAATATAGCTGAACATGACTATCATAAAGTGCTAGCTGCATCCTATATAGGTGCATGGGCATAGGCGTTACGATTTGAACATAAAAATCCATGACTTGGCTATACGGAAGCTATACTGAACTACAGGATTACCAAGAACTGGTATATAAGTATACCCTGCATGCATGGGAACGTGGTTGACGTTTCATGCTCGCATTGAACAGTGGGATCATGAGTACAGTTTTGACTATGAGAATCCTGTCGTTTATTTCTCCATTACAATTGACAGTTTACAGTCCCATTACTCATGATTATGACTAGACCATAAAGTTTTAGCTACATCCTAGGTGCATTGGCATAGGCGTTACGACTTGAACATAAAAATCCATGACTTGGCTATACGGAAGCTATACTGAACTACATGCACCGGATTGTTGATCCTACATAACTCTGTGATATCAATGTGTCTGCATGCATAAATAATATAATTACCCGGGTAGCCGAGTCTAGGTTTCACGATTATTATTTTAAATTTTGAATTTGATCTGTGACCTCAAAATAGAATTAAATTTCTTAAAACTTGTTATATAGCTACTGAAAATGTGTTAATAATATATGAATGAGTCATATTTATATAACAAGGCATATAAAGGTTCTGTCACTTTCCAGGGAATTATTATTATTTACATGCTTTGTCAATTCTGACCAGTGATCCCTACAGAGCTTATTGCTCCATTAATAGGGTACCTAAAATTACATTAAGCATGCACAAACAACATTTACAAGATAATGGTTATTTCGCTGCCCTCATAGAAACAACCAGACATTGAACAAATTGTATTAGTTTCCTAATATAGTAATATGTTTCAAGAATATTACCAATTTGAACAGTGAAGGCTGAGAAGCTCATTAGAAATATTCTGAGGTCAGCGAATCAACCTCTACAGCACATTTTATCAAAGTTTACATAACGGACGACATGAATGACATTTAACACAGATAGTTTTAAAAGATTGCGGAACATCAATGTTATATACCAGTTCAGTCATCTTATTATAATAATCCAATAAGTATGACTTAAATTGTCCAATGGTAACATCTGATCTACGTATATGTGGCGGTAGACTGTTGAAGATTCTAGGAGTTCTGTTGTAATAGCTATTTTGATATGTTAAGGTGTTTACTCTTGGTATGTTTATACTAACGCTATTCAATGTCTCGCTCCTTGTGACACGATTACTTAATTTAACTTCTATGTTTTGACTGTGTCTCATTTCTTTAAAGAAGTGAATTAGGTCCAGGTACTCATGCCAGTAGCTCAAAGGGAGTAGCCCTGTTTTTAGCAGCCGGTTTTTGTAGCTTGTTTTGGATCCAAACGGCAACGACAAGATGACTCTTGTTGCACGTCTTTGAACCTTTTCCATTTCAAGGATAAGAGAAACAGACTGTGGTGACCAGACTTGCGAGCTGTATGCAAATTGACTTCGTACCAAGGTCTTATATAGTGTGCAGCGGATACGAGGATCACTCAGGTTGTTAGAAGATCTTCTTACAAACCCCAGCATTCTGTTAGCTTTCGTACATACAGCTGATATTGGTGGTTCCATTTGAGATCTGAGGTTATAAAAACCCCGAGGTCCTTTTGCACAGTTCGGTTTTTGATCATTGATGTGATTGAAGGATCGTGATTTGTCAGGTTGTAGCTTGATGGAACTAGCTTTCGATTTCTTGTCACAGTGAGAACACCGCACTTAGACTGGTTGAGGCTCATACGCCACGTCTGGCACCACTGGTTGATTTCGTCGAGATCACTTTGAAGATTGTTAACGTCCTCTGTTGTTTGTATTGCACGATAACACTTGGTATCATCAGCAAATAGCGCTACCGACGATGAAGTCGCCTTTTGTGGTAGATCGTTCACATAAACAAGGAATAATAATGGACCAAGGATTGAACCCTGAGGAACACCTGACAGCACTGGTATTGGTTGAGATGTTTTGCCTAGAACTGTAACTTGCTGATAGCGGTCAGTGAGATAGTTTTCAAACCAGGCCAGTAAGTTACCACCAACCCCAACGCTTTGTAATTTCTTGATGAGTAGTTTATGATCGACTCTGTCGAATGCTTTAGCAAAGTCTAGGTATAGAATGTCTGTTTGAACTCTTTTATCTAGCGATTTGCCAATCTCATGAAGAACTTGAAGTAACTGTGATGTTGTAGACTTTCCCTTGAGAAAACCAAACTGGAGATTATGCAGTTGGCAGGATAGATGGTTAATTAGTTGATCGTAGATACAACGCTCTAAGACTTTCGATACAATGGAAAGCAGAGAGATTGGCCGATAATTTGAGACTTCATGCTTTTGACCACTTTTAGGAATAGGTGTTACATTTGATATCTTCCATTCCGCTGGTA